CCAGGTGTGTGTGTGTGTTTGATTTAGTGCATTTTGACATATTCATAAATGCATATAATATAGTTTTCTCCATTTCAATTCCCAGTACTTCCTCTTTCCCTCCGTCCTCCTGGTCCCTTTCCTCTACTCTATTAGGCTTCCTTTATTTATTTATGTATGTATGTTTTTATGGATGCATTATAAGTATATAAAAATTTAAATGCATTATATTATATTCATCATGCACATAGCGTGTTTTGTAAGCTTCATTTTTCATTTCTTCCTCTCCTCCACCCTTTTTCTCCCAGGTCCCCTGCTTCTCTACCGATCTCTTCTATTTTCACAAACTCTTCCATTTTTATTCCTTTTTTCCACTCTAGCTTGTGAAGCAGGAGAGAACACTGGACCCTTCAGTTTGAGTCTGGCTTATTTCTCTTAGCCTGATGTTTGCCAGTTCTTTCCATTTATCAACAAATGTACACATTTTTTTTAAGTTGTAAATATCTTTGTAATGAATCATTTTTATTCTTTCTCATTACCTTTGTGTATATACTTTTTTATACACAATGTATTTATGTATTTGTTTGTTTTTATATGGTACTGAGGATCTAACCCAGTGCCTCACTCTGCAAGACAGTCTCTCTTCCACTGAGCCACAGCTCTACCCTGAATGTACACACTTTTGAAGGAAATTATAAGTGCTACTATACTGAACATGACAAATGTTAAGAAAAGCAAAACAGCTTATTGCTGATACGGAAAAGTTTTAGTTGTCAGAGTTGTCAGGATAGAATCTCAAACTATCCACAGTGTTCCTTTAAATCAAAGACTAATCCAGAGCAAGGCCATGACTGTTCTGTTAAGGCTGAGAGGTGAAAAAGCTACAGTAGAAAAGTTTGAAGCTTGCAGAGGTTGATTGATGAAGTGTAAGGAGAGAAACTATCTCCATAACAAAAGTACAAGGTGAGTCAGCAAGTGCTAATATAGATGCTATAGCAAGTTATCCAGAAGATCATGCTTTTAATTGATGAAGGTGTCTATATTACAAAACAAGCTGTTTGTTATATACAAAATGGCTTTATATTAGAAGACATTATGTAGGACTTCCATAGCTATAGAGAAGAAATTAGGGCCTGCCTTCTAGGTTTCAAAGGATGGGCCTATTCTCTATTTAGGGATAATGTAGTTTGTGAAAGTGGAAGCTAGTGCATATTTACCATTCCTATAACCCTAGGCTTTTAAGAAAATGCTGAATCTATTTTTCCTGAGCTCTGTAAATGTTACAGTAAAGTCCACTGCAGAATTGTTGTTTACAACACAGTGGTAGGGATTCAGTCTAACCTGACTGCAACAAGTCAAAACTGCTTTGATTGCCCGTGAGTCTTTGTCTGACAGTTGATGTTAGCTTGAGATAAATTGTTTACATTCTGACTTAGAGGAAAGCCACTCTCATCCTGACCATTCAGTATATAAACTTACTCCCTTTGACTAAAGTTGGAGAGATGCACCAACCTTGCTGCACTCTTGACTTTTTTCAGTAAGTCCCCAATAAATTGCATTCTGTCTGATCTTGATTCTGTCTGCCTACTTCTTCAGTCTTATAGAACTTTATGTCAGTTCTTTTACACTGGATTTTCCCCAAACAATATTTGAGCAGACATTTGACAACTACTACTTAAAAAAAAAGATTATATTCAAAATGTTACTGCTCATTGAGAATATACATGGTCACCCACAATCTCTGACAGAAAGATAAAACAAAATTTATGTTTTTATGCCTGCTAATTAATACAGTGCCCACTTGGCTCCAATAAGAAATACATTTTGTAAGGCTGAAACTTCTATAGATAGCTGTTCCTCCGATGGATCAGGACAAAGTAAAGTGAAACCTTCCTGAAAGGATTCACCTTTGTAAGTGCCATTAAGTATATTTTTGACTCATAGAAGAAGTCAAAATATCAACATTTCCAGGAGTATGGGAGAAATCATTTTTAACTCTCATGGATGACTTGAAAGGATTCAAGACTTCAATGAATGTAATAACTGCAGATGTCATAAAATGGCAAAATAAATAGAATTAGAAGTAGAGCCCGAAGTTGTAACTGAATTACTGCAGTCCAATGATAAGACTTTAACAGATGAGCAAGGAAAGTGAATTCTTGTCTTGAATTCACTTCTGGTGAAAATGCAGTTAATGTGGTTGAAAATGATAGCAACAATTCAGTGTGTTATATGAACTTAGCTGACAAGGCATTGATGAGGTTTTAGAGGATTGATTCCAATTTTGAAAAAGTTCCCTTATGGGTAAAAAGCTGTCAAACAGCATATCATACAACAGTTGTCTTTCATGAAAGGGAGAAGCAATTAATGTGGCAAACCTTTGTGGCAATCTTCATTGTTGTTTTATTTTGTGAAGTTTTCAGTCTTCTATAATGATTTAGATAAGAGTTGTCCCCCAAAAGCTCATGTGTGAGACAATGCAAGAAAGTTTAGAGGTAAAATGATTGAGTTATGAGAGTTGTAACCCAATTAGTGGATTCATCTGTGTTTCTGACACAGTTTAGAAGGTCAAAGCATTCTTTTGTGGCCTGCTTTAGGAAAAAAAGAATATTAGACTGTCAGTGAGATCTTGCTGCTTCCGCTGTTTTTTCAGATATAAAGTACCATATCTCAGGGTAGCATATTCTGAATCCCATCAATTTTAAGGCTTATCATGTAATTACTTTATGCAACAAAATGTGATATTGGCTGAAGAATTTAAAAGCTGATGAGTAAAGCTGAATAACATTGTGAAATATATCTATATCTGATTTATTTGATTTATTGTAAAGGTGTCAATTTAAATTAAGGGAGCAGGGATTAGCTTTTCATAATAAATGGGGCTGAACAACTAGATTTTCATATGGAAAACCAGTGAAATTCTACCCTTATCTCATACTGTATATAGAATCTAATTTGAGATTGGAATTTAGATCTAAATTTAAATGACAAAGGAATAGTTTCTGGTACAGAAAACATAAGAGAAAATCTTTGGAGTCCTTGCAGAAGGTAAAGATCTCTTTGGCTATTAAAAAAAACACAAATATAGTATAAAAGAATGATAACTTGGATTTCATGAAGATTAAATTTCTCTTTCTTTGAAAGACACTGTTATAAAAGAGAAACCAAAGCGCATTACCTGTCTATTCACTTTGTAAAAAATGTCTTCAACACATATATCTTACCAGGGATTTCTTTCCAAAATATATAAGGATACAAGCAATAATTAACAGGTAAACACACAATGTGAAAAGATGTTCAACTTGACTAAAAATGAACTCCTACTAAAATACCACTAAACATTGATTTGAATGACAGCACTATGTCAAGGTATTGATATGATAAGGATTTAAAACTCTCTTACATTGCTGCTGTAACTAGAAAATGGTATAATCCCCGGAAAATAGTTTGGTGGGTTTGTTAAATAAATACATACTTACTGCATAACTTGGAAATTCTTCCTAGGTTTTGACCTAAGAAGTGAAAATATGCCCACTAAAAGAATTGAACTAGGGCTGGGGTAGTGGCTCAGCAGTAGAGCGCTCGCCTGGCATGTGCAAGGTGCTGGGTTTGATCCTCAGCATCATATAAAAATAAATAAATAAATAAAATAAAGGTATTTTGTTCAACAACAACTAAAAAACAGAGAGAGAGAGAGAGAGAGACAGACACTTGACCTAGAATGCTCATAGAAAGGTTATTTACAGTATTAAAAAGCATAGAAAATCCCAACTATCTATCAAGAAGTGAGTGGATAAAAAGTAATGGCATATACAATGGAATACTTCATTGTTGCATTTATACATTCAACAATGAGGGTCAGTGACTAGGAAGCGGCTTCCTTCAAACACATTCTAGGGTATTTTAGAAAATGATTTAAATTCCAAAATCTAACATGTATATGGTAAAATAGGAAGAAAATAAGTCCATCCCTTTCCTGAATGTGGGTATAAAAACATTGAAAGTTGAAATTAATCTAGTATAAGTGGTTATGAAAACATTGAAAAGTCGAAATTAATGTAGTATAAATAGTTATTCTTTCATAGGATGCCTAATGATTACCAGGAGCATGAGGGAGCTTCTGAGTTACTTGTAATGTTCTGTACATGGATATGAGTGGTGGGCCACGGATGTGTTTACTTTAGGAAATTTTAGTGAACTTTTTGAACTTCCATGTATTACTTTGGTTTATGGACTCCAAAGTAGTAGGTTATACTTTTTAAATAATTGTACTATTTCTTCTTCCCCAAATGAAAAGACTTTCAGCAAAAGGGCAAACACAAATAGCCCATGAAACTGTGATATGATACCTACCTATTACACATTTATGAACTTCTAATTAAAATATAGGGTGAAATTTCCAGTGAAATTGGTAAAGTTTAAGATCTTTGAAAACCATAAGTATTTATGAGGATAAGGAACCATGCGAATCTCTCATCTACTGCTGGTGTTAATGTAATCTGTTTAAAAACTCATGAGAATAGTTTGATAGGACTTCATAAGGTAACCATAAAATTCTCTTTGCAAAAGTCTTCCGAAAGTCTTCAAGGAAGCTTATGGTGATTCTGTTAATAAAAGCAAAAATATGTAAAGATTTTTCAGCAAGAGTGGTGGACAAATAAGTAAATGTTCGTTTATTCATCAGTGAAATACAATTTAGCAGTGAAAATTGGTGAACTGTTGGTACAATTAAAATTTAGATTATTTTGTAAAAGAAGGAAGTTTCAGGAAAATATATGTAATAATCCCTTTTTCTATAGTTTAGAAAGAGTTACACTAAATATTATATTAAATGAGAATAATAATAAGTAACATTAAAATTATAAAACTACTTTAAAATCTACATTGTATAATGTACTTTTCTAATTTAGGCTTTATTTCTTCTCAGATCTTTCAAATTGAGTGTCTTGTCCAAGTTGATAATTTTGAATAAAAAGTTATTGTGCTACTTGACAGTGAATTGTTTTGTTTCCTCCCTTCAGGTTCAAGCATATACTGGTTCAGGACCGTCACATATTTCACAGAAAATAATTCCTGTCTTGGAACTTCCACGTATTACTGAGGATGGTAAAATGAGATTGCTTAAGGAATTTTTTGTTATTATACATATATTATTAAAACAATTTTTATTTGAAGCTTATTTTCCTCATATGAGTATTTAGAGGAGGGGAAATATTTTTTGCTTTTAACCTAGGTTTTCTATAAAAAAAAATTATAAGAGAAAACTAACAAATTTATTAACATTTACATCTCATTTTTACATTGGAGACATTAGAGATTAGTAACTCAAAGGGCAATTAAAACTTGGGCTTATATACCAATTTGTGTTAAACAAAGGAGTTTGGGGCTGCTATGCTTGGGGAGGGAACTTTCAGAAAGGTAACTAGGAGAGATATGGTATATAAGGATAAGATTCATTATGTTGAATAAAGACAGCATCTTCCCCTTTGATAAGAATTTCTAATGATTAAGAGTTATTTTTCTGGTATAGAGAAGGAGACATCCTTACAAAGGTATAATTCCTTTATAAATTTTAATATTCCTTATAAAAGGGAAACTTATGCTGTGTCTTCAGAGCTGCTTCTGCATATGTTGTTTCTCAAAGTAATGAACTCAATATGACCCCTTTGTCAAAAAGAAATGGAATAGTCATATTAAAAAAAAAACAGGCAGTTACAGATATTTTTATATTATGAAGACATTTTCACTAAAATAATACAATTTGGATATTCCTTAAAGTTGCTTTTGTAATAGGATTTTTCTTTTTCTCTTCCTTTTTTTTTTTTTTTTTTTTTTTTCTGGTATAAGTTGAATTTGTAATGCCAAGAATCACTAGTAAGTGAATAATGTTTGTTGAATTTGGGATTAAAAAAACTCCACAATACTCTGTAGATGTCTAATTTGTAATGTGGTAGTTATTTTGAGAACTTGCTATAGGAAAAACTTTATATAGTTTTTTAAGTGAAGAAAAAAAATCAAGTTTTAATATCCAAATTAACATGAAAATATTATAAATATTCTAAAATATACTGTCTTTTTTTTTTATGACCACACTGGAAAAAAAACTGTTATCTATTTTTAAGATTAAAAAAGGCTAATTGTTAAATGTTTTAAAAGTGCCATCTTTGTCCCATTTTCTAAGGAATGCATTTTTTTGTTTGGTGACCGCAGAGGAAATTGAGTGAGGTCATGTACTCTTTCTTAACCTCAATTTTAGGTTGTTAGGGATATGTTTCAGATTATTTTAGGTTCCTTTAGATCTCTTTATAGTTTTATCAGTGGTTGAATGTTTTTCATGTTTTTGATCTTTTTAAATGTTTCTTCTTGGCCAGGGGGATATCTAAATATATGGAGGGAGGGAGGGATGGAAGGAGGGGGGGAGACAGAGAGAGAGAGAGAGAGAGAGAGAGAGAGAGAGAGAGTGAGTTAGTTAAATAGTTGTATAATATGTAGTAGTTTAACAGTGAATAGTAATCTCCCATTATCCATGGAAGATACATTCTAATACTCCTATTGGATGTCTGAAATCACAGATAGTACCAAATTTTATTAATACTATGTGTGTGTGTGTGTATATAATCTGTGATTAAGTTCAGTGTGCTTTTCACCTTAGTTAAGTACTTGATACTGCATGATGAGTATAACTCTAACAGTATGACTGCGAAACTAGCGTGAATTTATTTATTTTTTTTGGCATAGTTTCACAGAGTCATCATTCCTGGAGTGGATCTTGGCAACATCAGCATATGGTTTTTTCTTTCCTTAAAAATTACGTATTTTATCTTTTCACTTAAAGGGAATCATTTTATGGCTTCTCTCTGGCATGTTTGAATTGCTACCATCACTACTCTTGGGCTTTGGGGCCAATATTGAATAAAATAAGGGTTGCTTATACACATACAATACAGTTCTACAAGAGTCCATCTGATAATCATAATGGTTGCTAAATGACTAATGGATGGGTATTGTATGCAGTATGAATACTGAAGGAGTCCAGGGAATTGTGCCCCCAAAGTATGCTGACTATTTTAAATTAAAGGTCTTTGGAGAGCAGTAGATTCTGGAAAAGGTTTTTTCATGATACCACACAAAGATTAGAACTGCCAAATATGGATAACAATGATCTTTAGTTAAACTAATGTCTGTAGGAAGGAAAATTAAATAATATAGCCATACCTAGAATGAATTTGTTATAAGCCATTGTCTGTCTCTTAGGACCATTCAATTCCCAAAGAGAATCATTTACATTATCTGAGCACTCAGTCTATTCATTTACCTAAAATCATTTACTACCCCTCCATTTGTCGTATTTCACTGACCTCTTTGGGTTGTTTCAATTATCACAATCCTGTGATTCTCCCCTGTGCATGTTAATAATATATGTATATTTTTTCCCATTATTAGTTCATGCCAGCAAACTTGCAGACTTTTTGAGAGAGAAGGGAAACTTCTTTCTTTGCCCCTATAACATACTGACAAAGGAATAATTCATATCCCGAGTGGAATAGTGCAAGATTTTCTAATGCTACTTAGGATAGCATGCAGTTTAAAATTTTGGAATTCTTGGAATTTTTCATTTAATATTTTTGAGCTGTGGGTGACTGTGGGTAACTGGAATCACATAAAACAAAACTACAAATGGGGTGGGAGATTGCTTCATTCAAATTTCAGGGCCTGTCTTCTGCTGCTAATATTGCAGAGTTTATATATAAGTCCTGTTAGACTGTTCAGGTAAATGAGCATTTTAGCATGTTACTTTGAGTATTCATGATGTGTAAAGTCTTGAGTGTTGTCATTTACTGTAAAATATTCTTATGAAACTTTGAAATAGACTCATGATTTCATAAGGTGATCTTTAAAGATTACATTTTATAGTTTTTCTATACTTTTTTGTAATCAAGAATGTTATTTGTTCAAAAGTAATTTTATATTCTTTTCCATTTACTTTAATTCTTAGATTTCTATTAAATTTTAAAATAAATAGATCCATAGTGTTTCAGTGTTTACATTTCAGAAAATTTATTTCAATGTTATTATTAAATTGATCATTTTTTATTATTGACTGAAACAATATTCTTGAAATTTAGACTCAGAAGAAGAATTTTTTGATGCACCATGTAGTCCCTTGGGAGAGTTTCCTCAAGTTCCAGTTAGAGTTAAAAGTACTCAACACAAAAAATTACAAAAGCAAGATTGTTCAGTAAATTTGACTGAGATTAAAATGCGATTTGAAGTAGCAGAGGTATGTGATATGGTAAATTAATAACAGTTATTTAAATTGTCATGTCTACCATTTACAACCTCATTGCTAATAGGTACTGCATCCCAATTAAATGATGTAAATTTTCTGTATGGTGGTTCCCTTTCATCCTCCCCTTTCTTTTGTTTGAAGAATAGCTTCTTTAATCAAGAATTAGGTGTTTGGATATGATATATTGTGGGTTTTCAATACATATTTCTTAAAAATTATTATAAAAAGTGGAGTGGTGATTATATGTGGAATGGTGATTATAAAATTGCTTCTAAATTTTAAATACATAGTACATTATTTATATCATGTGTATGTGCAAATACATTTCATATATCCATATATAGCCACTATGCAAATAAATGTGATTTTTGTTTTAATAGTAGTAATTTAATTTTCCATTCTTCTTAAGGTTTTGATTCAATTTTATCACCTTGTGGGTGATTGTGAACTACCTGTGGTAGAAATTGATGTTTTAGGATTAGGCACAGAAGTTGAACTTAGAACATTTGATTTGAAAGCAAGTGCCTTTTTGAAAGAGTTCTGCTTAAAATGCCCAGAATACTTAGGTAAGAATCTCTATTTCTTAAAAGTAAATAAATTAATTTTATTACTTAACTACTTGCTGGAGAACTTTTAATTATTTTAGAGTTCGAATCAGTATATTTGCTCAAATATTCTCAGAGAAATATTGTGTTTGTACTATTACTATTATATTGTGTTTGTACTAGTCTATTTTCCATTGATATAACAAAATACCTGAGACTGAGTATAGAAAAGAAGTTTAATTACCTCATAAATTTGGAAGTTGAAAGGCTGAGCTTCAGTGGCTGCATTTATTTGGCCTCTGGTGATTATCTCTTGGTGGGTGGTATGACAGCAGGAGCATATGTAGTGGAGATCACCTGGTGAGACAGGAAGCCAGAAGCTGATTCAAGGGTCTGTCTCACTCTGTTGTAACTGTTCACTATAATGGATATTAACTGGGATCCCACAAGAACTATATTAATGCTTCCTCTGGACAGTGTCCCCAATGACCTAATCATTTCGCACTAAACTCTACCTTTTTAAGGTTTGACCACCTTAACACAACATCCCTGAGGACCAAGCCGCCAGCACACTAATCCTTGGGAGACAAACCACATCCAAACCTTAGCAGAATTAGTCTTTGGCTTTTCATCTTACACTTGGTAGTCTGAGGAAGGGGTAGACCAGAGACAAAATGAAGATAATTTTTTTTTTCATTAAGGAAGATCAAATGTGATTAAATCTTAAATCTACATTTAATATAGGAACACTAAATTAATTTCCTATTACTGCTGTAACAATTTACTATGAACTTGGTGTCTCAAAACAACACAAATTTATTAAAGTTCTATAGGACAGAAGTCTGATGTAAGTCCTACTGTACAGAGAAAACTGTTATATGATTTATGAATATGTCAGAATGAACCCCAGTATCATGTATAACTATAAAGCACTAAGGAAAAAAAAAAGAGACCTGAGAAAATAAATTAAGGGGTCAGTGAGAGTTCCTTTTTGGAGGCTCTAGAGGAGGATCCTTTTCTCTGTTTATTATGTTGGTGACTAAATTCATTTGCACATGATTTAAGTTTGTTTTCTTGTTACCTGTTAGCTGTTGTTAATGCCTACAGGTTTCTATTCTGTCTTGCATTATATCCTCCTACATCTCAGACCCAGCAAAGGGTATCAGATTCTTACAGGGCTATTTCTAACATCCTCTTCTACTTTTTGCTTCCACTCTTAACTCAGGCAGATAATCAAACATAATCTCCATTTAACTATAATCACATCTTCCAAGTTCATTTTGTCATATAATCCCTTAAGATCACAGTGTAGGAGTCTTGTCTTGTTTTTCTTGTTTTTGATGGGAATGGTATTCTGTCTATCACAAAACTTTTAAGTTTTCCAGAATCATAATGGATCTGTTATATCTAAGAAAATAGTCCTGTTTTCTTTGTTAGGGATTTAGGTAGATACTATTTATATTTCTTCTTTTATGTTTTTTTTTTAATTTATTTTTTTATTGGTTGTTCAAAACATTATAAAGCTATTGACATATCATATTTCATACAATAGATTCAAGTTGGTTATGAACTCCCAATTTTACCCCAAATACAGATTGCAGAATCACATCGGTTACACATCCACATTTTTACATAATGCCCTATTAGTAACTGTTGTATTCTTCTACCTTTCCTATCCTCTACTATCCCCCCTCCCTCCCCTCCCATCTTCTCTCACTACCCCATCCACTGTAATTCATTTCTCTCCTTGTTTATTTTCCCATTCCCCTCACAACCTCTTATATGTAATTTTGTATAACAATGAGGGTCTCCCTCCATTACCATGCAATTTCCCTTTCTCTCCCTTTCCATCCCACCTCATGTATCTGTTTAATGTTAATCTTTTCTTCCTGCTCTTCCTCCCTGCTCTGTTCTTAGTTGCTCTCATTATATCAAAGAAGACATTTGGTATTTGTTTTTTAGGGATTGGCTAGCTTCACTAAGCATGATCTGCTCTAGTGCCATCCATTTCCCTGCAAATTCTATGATTTTGTCATTTTTTAGTGCTGCGTAGTACTCCATGGTGTATAAATGCCACATTTTTTTTTATCCATTCATCTATTGAAGGGCATCTGGGTTGGTTCCACAGTCTAGCAATTGTGAATTGTGCTGCTATGAACATCGATGTAGCAGTATCCCTGTAGTACGCTCTTTTAAGGTCTTCAGGGAATAGTCCAAGAAGGGCAATAGCTGGGTCAAATGGTGGTTCCATTCCCAGCTTTCCCAGGAATCTCCATACTGCTTTCCAGATTGGCTGCACCAGTTTGCAGTCCCACCAGCAATGTACAAGAGTACCCTTTTCCCCACATCCTCGCCAGCACTTGTTGTTGTTTGACTTCATAATGGCTGCCAATCTTACTGGAGTGAGATGGTATCTTAGGGTGGTTTTGATTTGCATTTCTCTGACTGCTAGAGATGGTGAGCATTTTTTCATGTACTTGTTGATTGATTGTATGTCCTCCTCTGAGAAGTGTCTGTTCAGGTCTTTGGCCCATTTTTTGATTGGGTTATTTGTTTTCTTATTGTTTAATTTTTTGAGTTCTTTGTATACTCTGGATATTAGGTCTCTATCTGAAGTGTGAGGAGTAAAAATTTGTTCCCATGATGTAGGCTCCCTATTTACCTCTTTTATTGTTTCTCTTGCTGAGAGAAAACTTTTCAGTTTAAGTAAGTCCCATTTGTTGATTCTTGTTATCAACTTTTTTATGTTTTTTTTAATCCATAGTTTACATTAAAAGTTCATAATTTACATCAGAGTTCACTCATTATGTTATACATGTATGCATTTAGACAAAACTATAATAGCAAGTATCCACCATTATATTTGTCTAAACGTTAGTTTTACAATGCTAAAAATCTTCTGTGCTTCATCTTATTCATCATTCCCTCCCCTATAACAAGTGTCAGTCACTGATTTTTTTATTATCTCCAAATTTCAAGCATGTCATATAATTGGAATCATATAGTATGTATCTTTTTTCTGATTGAATTCTTTCATTCAGTAATATGTATTTAAATTGTTTTTATATCTATTCATGGCTTGATAGCCTTTTTTTAAAAGCTGGAATAATGTTTCATTGTCTAGGTATGTTATGGTATATTTAATCCATTCACCTACTGAAAGATTTCTTAGTTGTTTCCAGATTTTTCCAGTTATGAATAAAGCTGCTGGGTGTTTGTGTAGATGTTTTTGTTTTCTTTCGGTAAATGCCAGAATCTGCAATTATAGAATCACATGGTGAGAGTGTAATGTAGTTCAGTAAGGAACTGCCATACTGTTTTCCAAAGTGGTTGTACCATTATGCATTTCTACTGGTGATAAATAAGAGTGCCAACATTTGGTGGTATTGGAATTCTGGATTTGGGTCATTCTAATAGGTACATAGTAATAATTTGCATATCTCTGTGACATATGGTGTGAAACCATTTTTCATTTACTTATTTGCTGTATGTATACCTTATCTGGTGAGTTGTCAAGATCTGTGGCCCATTTTTTAATCAGATTAAGTAGTACAGCCCTTATCGCTTGCTAAGAAGATCACGTATGTAGCAGATACAAAATTTTATTATGCTTGTTTTTTTTTTTTTTTAAACCAAGAAGCAGTTTGCTTTGATAATTGGAAAGAAAAGTATACCAGCTCAATAGTGTTTTGTAATGCTCCAGAAGTATTAGAACAGTTGTTAATTTACACTTTAGCTTATTTTTGTTTTCTCAAGAGCAAAGGATAAGAAAACCCTTGAAAATAAAACACAGGGCATACAGTTTTCACTGTACTCATTTGCCCTTGTTTTCTTGAGAGATCAAATAGCACAGTTTCTCATGAAAGGTAGATGATCAATAAATATTTGTTCAGTGAATTAATAAGTGTGTAAACAAAGTGTGGATCTTCTTGGAGGTAAAAGTGTGGTTAGCACCTGCATTAGAAAGCTGGTTTATATGCTAATAACCTTTTAAGTTTGGAGGATTTTGTGGTGTTTTTCTCTTAAGAATAGTATAGTTTTTTTTCTCCCAGTCTCTACATATTGACTTCTAATAGACATAAGTAATTTGATGATGATGATGATTTTAAAAGGTATTATACAAAAATCTCTCCTACGGTAGTTTTCCTACAATGACAGATTTTGAGCAGAAGCAATAATATAATTAAAACAGATTATGTGGTAATAGAGTTAATTTAATCTAAACTGTATATAAAAACTTTTTCATCACATTCCTGATCTGTCTTCTCAACAACTTGGTTTTCTAGGACTGGTGACTTTTCTCTAGGAATTTTTGTGACCTGGGGCTATAAGTCTCTTCATGTCCTTTCATTTAATAGATTGCTAATTTTTCTTACCTTACCTACTGTCTAGGGTTAGGAAGGTTGACACTTCAGTATTGAGGCACAAAGGAAGGGAATGAAATTATATGGAAAAATTACACTTGTAGAATATAAAAAATTAAGGGAACTGAGTAAGTGCATTCCAAGGACTAGAACTGGTACAGAAAAGCCTTTTTCAATTATGTTATTATTAATATTCCCTGCCTTTATTTTGAATTAATTTTCCTACCAATAGATAAAATAAAAAAAATTTTATTTTTAGATGAAAACAAGAAACCTGTTTATTTGGTCACAACACTGGATAACACAATGGAAGATCTGTTAACATTGGAATATGTGAAGGTAACTGGTTCCATTTTTAGCTGCTTGATAGATTAAGTATGCTGCTGAAATTTTATAATCAAGTTTTCAAAGTTTAGTAATATTTTGTTTGTTTAATATTTAGTCCTAGTGTAATCTCAGTAACTCCTATCTTGATAATAAGAATGATAATATGCAACATGTATTGAATACTTGCTGTGTGTGCTATGTGCTGGAGAAGCCCATACTTAACAAATTTCTTTTGTTCTAGTAAGGAAATTGCTTTGTTCTTGTGAAGCACTTGCCTTTTTCCATAAATGTATATACTTAACCTAAAATCCGTAATCTATATATAGTTACTGTATACATACATACCCCGGGAAAATTATATAAATGCATGTTAGGACTATTATTAATTGTATGAACACATTTTCCTAAAATATGCTAATAGACTTGTTAACTTATATTAATGACTTGTTTTCTCTTTTGATAGGCTGAAAATAATGCACCTAATTTGAAAAGTACCTATAACAATGTTTTACAACTGCTTAAGGTATGATTGAATAACAATTTACTTTTAATTGTGTGTATTTTTTTTTGTCCAAGTGTATTATGGAAATTATCTCTCATTATAAAATCCTTGAGGATAAAACAATATTATAAATTGTATCCTTGATAGCACAAAGCGTAAGTCCTTATAGAGACTACACAAGCAAATTTTTATTGACCTGTTATTAAAATCAGCTTCGTTCTTTAGGTGAATTTTTCATCTTTGGATATTCATTTACATACTGAAGCACTTCTGAATACAATGAATTATCTCAATAACATCCTTCCACAATCAGTGGAAAAACCAACCTCAGTGTCTGTTCCAGAGACTGAAGACAAAGGAGATGTCATTAAAAAATTGGGTATCTTTCTTTAAAATTCAATTGCAATTTCTTTTTTAAACAAGTAGATCATTAAATTTAGGACTGGGACTTATTGTTAACTTATATTAATGACTTCAGGATTCTGGTGTATAGACTACTATCCAAAGGATTCATGATTTATTGAGTTAATTTTAGAAAATAATATTAAAGGCAAAGGAAACCAATTACTGCTGAAGAAAAGATTTTTGTCATGCAGCTGATTATACAGAAGATTATATAGTAGAAGTATTTGATTTGGATTAAAATTCATGCATTTAATAATTAAATAGCATTATTTTAGATTAAGAGGAATGTAAGCCTTGGTAACTTAGCGTGACCCTGTTTCAAAATAAAAACTGAAGTAGCTCAGTGGGGAAGTGCCCTTTGATTCAATCCCCAGTACCATAGAACAAATAAAAAAACTAACAAAATTTGAGTAATATCAGAGTTGTGAATTATTTGTGTGTGTACATTTTTTTTTTTCTTCTTTCAGTGCTAAGGATCAAACCTAGGGTCTCATACATGCTAGGCAAGCACTTTGCCAAATGAGCTACGTCCCCAGTTTTGTTCAGAGTGTATTTTTAATCAGAATAAGATTGAGTATCCCAGTCCAAGAATTTGAAATTCTTCAAAATCTGAAACTTTTTAAGTCTCATGTGTGCTAAAATGTTTTAGATTTTGGAGCCCTGTTTTGGATTTTTGGATTAGGTGTGCTCAGCCTATTACTATTTAAAAGCAACAAAAATTTATAATTTTCACAATGATAGGTGTTTCCTAGTAGACATCAAGTCTTAGAAGTTTAGAATTTTATAGCTACAGTTGCTTAGTTTCAAATAAGTAGTCTCCCCTAGGAACAGTATTTCATTTTGCTTTTTTTTTTTCATTAGGTATGATAATTCTTTAGAAATCCTAAGCCAGTAGGAAATGTCTTATTTTGCTTTTAGTTGATGCAAAGCAGACTTTTAATATCATTATTTATGTTGATAGTTCAGTTACTTTTTAAGTGTAGTATGGTAACTGCTAAACTTTTCCTTTTATTTTACAATATGACTTTTTTTTTATAGCTTTAAAACTATCCATGAATGAAGATATTATAACCTTGCAGATTTTAGCAGAATTATCATGTATACGGATTTTTATTCAAGATCAGAAACATAACATTGCCGAAATTAAGATTGAAGGTAATAAATCTCATAAAATAAATCCAATAAATGATTAAATGAAACAAATAAAAACTATTAGTCATCTTTTTATTTCCTTAGGACTTGATTCTGAAATGATTATGAGGACTTCAGTTATGGAAATAAATGCCAAGCTAAGGAATATAATTGTTTTGGATTCTGATATAATGGCTGTGTACAAAAAGGTAAGAATTTGTTTTCATTAATACTACATCACTAAATATGATTGTCCTTGAAGAGTGGTCATACTTTGCTAAATTTTAGCAATGTGTATGAGTTTTATAGTCAGGCATATCGGATTATCTTGGCTCTATTCCTTAGTAGTTGTGTGATCCTTAGCAAATTACCTAATCTCAAATTTCATTTCTTTTCTTCGAGTACCCTGCATGTCATAATGAGTTTCAGATGCCAACATCAGAAGGGCTGAGATTTTTTTAAAGCTTATTTCCAGGGATGCTAACCAATATAGCTGTTATGTTAAGAGAGCTGTTTGAACTGAATGCTTAGTGACTGAAGAGTAGGTGTTTTGTTACTGGATATAAAATAGTATGGATTCTGGATTTGATACTCTTGTGGAGTTGGACAGATAATTCTTGAATAATGAGGTCTGAAGAGTGAAGGAATATTAAATAGTAAGATCAGAAAACCCGTACTTCTTGAGCCAGGAAGTCAGCATTTGGAATTTGACAAGAAGAAAGGAGAAATGCACAAATGGACTTAAGAGTATTCTAATCAGCTTTTTCACTGCTGTGACTAAAAGACCTGACTAGAACAGTTTATAAGAAGGAAAAGTTTATTTTGTGACTCATGGTTTCAGAGGTCCATAGAACATTTGCCTATTTCTCTAGGTCTCAGAAATGGAACATTCTGGGTGACCCTGTCCCTTTTCCTCATGGCATTTAACTGATATATTTGGTGGCTCCTACATGGGACCAAATATCCTACTGTGTCACAGCAGAAGGGGACCTCGAAAGATATTGTCCAAGGAGGATTTCTTGTTCTTCCCCCAGGTATAGTTTTCTCATATCCTTGTCCCTAGAATTTTGAATCTTCACCTGAACCTTGATGGCCAGGTTTTCTGCCCTTTTGTATCTTAAGATTTTGTTCTGAGAAGTGGATAATCCTGGTGGTCCTTTGGACTTTTTTGCATTGGAGTCTTCTTTCCTTTTCCAGGAATATACCAAGGAATACTCTGTCTGATGTTTTACTTTGTCTTTCTCATGATCTCCCAGAGAGGTCCATGAAGTACCTTCAGCTGAGTGTGAACTAGTCTTGTGTTTATGGCTTCCAGGGTTTCATTATCTCACATCAGTTCACAGTCCATCTTTATCACTTTGTTTTGTTTTTATTCTGAGGCATTTTACCTAGCTTGTATGGTACCTGGCATCTCTCTATCCTGCTTTCTACCACAAGTGAGCTGGTGCTTATCTTCTGACTTTCCTTGAAGATAAAAGTTTTCCCTTATGTTTTAGGGTGTTTTGTTGTCAAGAGACTCCTATTTCTAATGGTTCCACGAAAAATTGTGGTGGTTTATTTGGTTTATTCTTGTTTTAGGGTTTGGAATGACTTTCTCTCTAGTTTATGCATCCTAGACAGAAGCATACTGTAGACTTCTTTTCAGACCTCATATCTTTGACTCCTGAGGATTATTGATGCTGTGGTTGGAATTTATTTGCCTGTTGATGGTTCTTCAGCTCCCTGTTCTTGCTTCTAGAATTTAAGAGAGTAGATAGGACAGTAAATTAGTGTCCTTCCATGTTCCAAAGTATTAGAATACATTTTATGTCTTCTGTCGTCTCTACCATTTTTAACTGGTATTACAGAGCTTGAAATTTTAAGCCTTTGTAAGTAATTCCAAATTGACAAGTAAGATGGGTCTTCACAAACCAATAAGGAATGAGGAGTATAGAAATAGGAGATCCCTTTAAAGAATCTGGAAAATCTGTTCCTATATCTCAGATCAAGAGAAGGTAGTTTTTAGTAAGTTGTAAATATAGTTTTTTTTCAGACTTTTGAAAGTGAGCGAGGATTTTTCATTTAAATGATGACTCTTGGATACAAAAGTATAAACTCTTAAGTGAGAATGCATACGCTGAAATTTTATCTTCATTAAAAATAAAATGCTGAGCCATACCTACTAACATGATTTCATGACCTACAAAGGGAGCTGCCACCATCAGTTTGAAAAACTGTATAGTGTAGGTTCTAATAAAGCAGTGAGAATTGTAGCCTCATTTGTGCTGGCTTGAATATGTGGGAAATTTTCCAAATATGTATGTCTTTTATTATATTTTGCTTTGTTTTGTTTTTATCCTGAGGCATTTTACTTAAAAAATGGATTCTAATCATTGGATTGTTCTCTCATTAAGGCTGTGTATATCACTGGAAAAGAAGTTTTCAGCTTCAAAATGGTTTTTTACACGAATGTAACTGCTGGTTCTGCAGACACAGATATGAATGTGGTTGACGTTCGGTTTAATTTAACTGTTGGTTGCATTGAAGTCGTTTTTGTCACAAAATTTCTATATTCCATAATAGTAAGTATTTTAATTATTTTTATTCTTTTATACTAGTTTAGAATTGGTGTATTAACTAGATAATCAAACCAATGAACAATAGCAAGAATTCCTTGCTTTTTAAAAAAAATTAATAATTTTCTGTGTACCTTTTATAATAGTGACTGAAATGTTCAGTACCTTGTTTATATAGCATCATTTTCACATGGGTATATTCTATTTAATTGAAATTATATTTTATATATTACCATATTAATATATGTAGTGTTATTGTTATATACTATATATTAATTGAAATCTTTTATATATCATTGACTTAAGTATTTGCTTTGCCTGATTTCCAGCTCCAATTTTAAAAATGCCAAACACAATTAAAGTTTGTTTTGGTCTCATGTCATTGTTAAGAAAGTTACATTTTTTATTTCTTTATAATTCTGTGGATGTTTGGATACTTCAAGACCTGATGTGATTCCTATATGACTTTGTGTTAAAGCTTCTGCGTTCTTAGTTGTGCTTTTCATATTTTGTTTTCTGTTTTACCATTGCCATCAGCTATTTTTTCCTGTGAGTGTCATACCTGTCTTTATGATGTCACTTTTTAAAAAAATCTTGTTTCTAAATTTTGGTGTATAAACTAGATAATCAAATCTAAGGATATAAATAGAATAAATAGGCCAAGTATGCATATGTATTGTACATATACAACATGGCATACATATTGATAAGATTAGCAGTTTTTATAAGAAAGGGATTTATATATTTACTTGGATATATTTGGGGGATATGGAGCCCTCTTTTGTTATTTCAGAGTTTTAATCACTTAGAACTTTTGTGATTTTTCAAATTGAGGTTACCATATAGGTTTGTAGACATAATATAAGGATGAACAAACCTTCTTCGTCTAATTTATGTTTATTACTCAAAACATTATGTCACTGAGCCCTCTTATGATACCTTTTATTTAAAAATTACTGAAAATAAAATGTAGGTTTTTTTCAGAATGTGAAAATTAATTTTAATCTGATATATTTTATTATTAAGGTAATTTTTCTAGAATTTTAGAAATTTGAAAACTTACTTCAGAATCCTTAAAGAAAGATATTTTATCTTTTCTTTTAAAATTTTACAAACATAGATGGCCTCTCTACATTGAGGTTGTATGTGGTTGTATGTATGAGTTTGTATGTTTTACTTTCAGAGAAGGTATACTAATAAAAGGAATAGGTATCAGTGAAACATTCCCCGTCCTTATTTTGCTTTGTTTAAGAGACTAGATTTTTATTTTATCAATATCTTTGTGTTTATTTCTCAATTTTTACATCAGAAAGTTAAGATTTAATTTAGACAGACTTTGAATAAATAATGCATGGTTATGTGAAGTCAGAGGGTTTTCTTATGGAGGTAAGTTTAGAAACATTAATACATATTTAATAAATCTTATTAATGGTAATGTTAATAGGAATATCATTCTGTCTTTAGGCTTTTATAGATAATTTTCAAGCAGCAAAACAAGCCTTGGCTGAAGCAACTGTTCAGGCAGCAGGAATGGCTGCTACTGGTGTAAAAGAACTGGCACAAAGGAGTTCTAGATTTGCATTAGATATTCACATCAAAGCCCCAGTTGTGGTTATCCCACAGTCTCCTGTTTCTGAAAATGTTTTCGTTGCTGATTTTGGACTTATCACAATGAAAAATACATTTGTTCAAATATCAGAGAGCCAGAGCTATCCCCCACCTATTATTGACTTGATAACAATAAAGCTGAGTGAAATGAGACTATATAGGTAAGTTTTTTGCAAGTATATTTGAGTACAGTGTAATTTTTTTCTAAATTTTTTTTTAATTTTTATTGTTGGTTGTTCAAAACATTACATACTGATATATCATATTTCACACTTTGATTCAAGTGGGTTATGAACTCCCATTTTTACCCTGTATACAGATTGCAGAATCACATCAGTTACACATCCATTGATTTACATATTGCCATACTAGTGTCTGTTGTATTCTGCTGCCTTTCCTATCCTCTACTATCCCATCTCCCCTCCCCTCCCTTCCCCTCTTCTCTCTCTAGCCCCTCTACTGTAATTCATTTCTCCCCCTTGTATTATTTTCCCCTTTCCTCTCACTTCCTCTTGTATGTAATTTTGTATAACCCTGAGGGTCTTCTTCCATTTCCATGCAATTTCCCTTCTTTCTCCCTTTCCCTCCCAAGTCTCATCCCTGTTTAATGTTAATCTTCTTCTCTTGCTCTTCGTCCCTACTCTGTTCTTAGTTACTCTCCTTATATCAAAGAAGACATTTGGCATTTGTTTTTTAGGGATTGGCTAGCTTCACTTAGCCTGATCTGCTCTAATGCCATCCATTTCCCTGCAAATTCTATGATTTTGTCATTTTTTAATGCAGAGTAATACTCCATTGTGTATAAATGCCACATTTTTTTTTATCCATTCGTCTATTGAAGGGCATCTAGGTTGGTTCCACAGTCTTGCTATTGTGAATTGTGCTGCTATGAACATCGATATAGCAGTGTCCCTGTAGCATGCTCTTTTTAGGTCTTTAGGGAATAGACCAAGAAGGGGAATAGCTGGGTCAAATGGTGGTTCCATTCCCAGCTTTCCAAGAAATCTCCATACTGCTTTCCAAATTGGCTGCACCAATTTGCAGTTCCACCAGCAATGTACAAGTGTACCCTTTTCCCCACATCCTCGCCAGCACTTGTTGTTGTTTGACTTCCTAATGGCTGCCAATCTTACTGGAGTGAGATGGTATCTTAGGGTGGTTTTGATTTGCATTTCTCTGACTGCTAGAGATGGTGAGCATTTTTTCATGTACTTGTTGATTGATTGTATGTCCTCCTCTGAGAAGTGTCTGTTCAGGTCCTTGGCCCATTTGTTGATTGGGTTATTTGTTATCTTATTGTCTAATTTTTTGAGTTCTTTGTATACTCTGGATATTAGGGCTCTATCTGAAGTGTGAGGAGTAAAGATTTGTTCCCAGGATGTAGGCTCTCTATTTACCTCTCTTATTGTTTCTTTTGCTGAGAAAAAACTTTTTAGTTTGAGTAAGTCCCATTTGTTGATTCTAGTTATTAACTCTTGTGCTATGGGTGTCCTATTGAGGAATTTGGAGCCCGACCCCACAGTATGTAGATCGTAGCCAACTTTTTCTTCTATTTGTCTCTGATTTGATATCAAGCTCCTTGATCCATTTTGAGTTAACTTTTGTGCATGGCGAGAGAAAGGGATTCAGTTTCATTTTGTTGCATATGGATTTCTAGTTTTCCCAGCACCATTTGTTGAAGATGCTATCCTTCCTCCATTGCATGCTTTTAGCCCCTTTATCAAATATAAGATAGTTGTAGTTTTGTGGATTGGTTTCTGTGTCCTCTATTCTGTACCATTGGTCCACCCGCCTGTTTTGGTACCAGTACCATGCTGTTTTTGTTACTATTGCTCTGTAGTATAGTTTGAAGTCTGGTATCGCTGTACCGCCTGATTCACACTTCCTGCTTAGCATTGTTTTTGCTATTCTGGGTCTTTTATTTTTCCATATGAATTTCATGATTGCTTTCTCTATTTCTACAAGAAATGCCATTGGGATTTTGATTGGCATTGCATTAAACCTATAGAGAACTTTGGGTAATATCGCCATTTTGATGATGTTAGTTCTGCCTATCCATGAACAGGGTATATTTTTCTATCTTCTAAGATCTTCTTCTATTTCTCTCTTTAGGGTTCTGTAGTTTTCATTGTATAAGTCTTTCTACATTAAAGACTTTGGTAGCTTAAATTGTTTGCAGTGGGATTGTAGTTTATTTTAACTATACTTCATTTTGTGATTCTCTCTCCCTCAAATATTTTTGGGAATATCAATTATAGTCTTTTAAAAATTGTTTTGTATTGGAAGTGCTACAGCTAGTTGGATTCAAGTGACACTGAATTCTTTTTTTAAATTTATTTTTATTAGTTCTAATCAGTTATCCATGAAAGCAGAAAGCTTTTTGATTCATTGTACTCAAAAATAGAGCACAACTTTTTATTTCTCTGGTTGTACACGATGTAGAGTCATACCACATGTGCAGTCATACATGTACCTAGGGTATTGGTGTTCATATCATTCCATCATCTTTCCTGCCCCCATGCCCACCACCCTTTTCCTCCTTCCCCTTGGCCCTATCAAAATTTCTACATTCTTCTCACAGCACCCCCCTATTATGGATCAGCATTCACTTACCAGAAGAAATACTCGGCCTTTGGTTTTTAAGGATTGGCTTACTTCACTTAATATGATATTCTCCCACTCCACCCATTTACCTCAAATGCCATAATTTTATTCTCTTTTAATGCCGAGTAATATTCCATTGTGTATATATATCACAGTTTCTTTATCCATTCATCTGTTGAAGGGCATCTAGGTTGGTTTCACTGTTTAGCTGTTGAGTGACACTGAATTCTTGACAAGCTGGTGTGACTTAAGGTTAGGGGGCCAGGATTCTATTGAATGAGGGTCATGCTAATGAATAATGGTGACGGAAGATATTAAAGACAAGAGGGTAGTGATAATGTGAAAGGATATAGAGGCATATATAGATTGGAGATTCAATAATATCAGTCTTAAAAAATAAGAACTATTTGTTGATGTATTATAGCATGAGTAAAAGTGGTAAACCTGGGTCTTGTTATTCTTAAAGGAACAGTGAGAGATGGGAGGCATCATCACAAATTAAGAAAAATTATTTCTCTTACCCTGAGATAGGCAGGTTATTGGAGAAAAACTGACATCTGTTTATAGAACTTCTTGGAAAGCCATGTTTCGGTTAAGATAAGAAATGAATGATATAGTTAGTGAAGACAGTTGGAAAATGTTGAATGATTTGTTATCTAAGTCCAGGGATTTTGGAAATTACAGGAAAATACTAAGATAAGAGATTTCTGTTTTATTAGTAGGCTATAATATGCATTAATACCTTGAAGTTTCAAGTGGTTCAGTAACCTGGAGAGTTTGAAATGTAAGTTGCCATTGCTAAAATAGAATATTTATACTTTCATTTCATCATGTATTGTTTGTTTTAAAGAAATGGTAGATGTAAATGAGGTGTGAATCTATTGGTAAAATAGATTGCTTGTGTTTAACAAGAGTCCACAATTGTCTGTAATAATCATAATATTTATTATTTTATCTCCAAAATGGTTAATTTTATTGATAATGAGCATAAAAGATTGTTAACAATCTCTTGAATATCCCAAAATAACTGCTAACAATTTGGTCTTTTTGTTACAGTTCATTTTATTTGCATTTATATTTAACTTCAGTAAAATTAGGATTATATTGTGTGGCTTGTGTTGTAAATTGCTTTTTTCTAACAACAGGCTGTATTTTTTCATGTTTTTATTTTGAATGCATAATTTTTTCTTAATAGTTTATTACTTAGTTTTTAAAAATAAATTTTGTTAGGAATTTAAATTGATTCAATTTCTTTTTGATATTATAACACTATAATGATGATTGTTTTTTTGTTTGTTTATCAGTACTGATATGATCATCTTCTTTACTTTTTTTGGACAATTCATTTCTGTAGGTTGAATTCTTACAAATAGAATTGTTCAACTAGAGTATAACCACTTTTTCCTGAAATAACTTTTAAAAAGTAATTGGTTTGTGAAAATACAGTTTAGTTACTATTTTTCTCCACATAAGCAAGGACAACAAGTTCTTTATATTGTTGTATATATCTTAATCCAATTTCTTGAATACAGTTTAGCAAATATTTATTAATTATATTACTTATGCCAATAATCTGAACTAATACTAGTAACACAACAAAGAATAAGATAAACATAGTCCAGTGCCTTCCCATGAAGTTTTCACTATAATTGAAATTCATAAGTGGACTGTATACACTAAAATGCATTATATGAAATACTTTGATAGAAAAAGTTCAAAGAACTTGTAGGCACACATAGCCAAATTATCTAGCCCCAAGATATAGAGTAATATTAACACAAAAGATTTTTCCAGAGGAAATAATGTTTTAATTTAGTATTTATGTTTCTTATAGTTTATTTACTCAAATATTTTGAAGGCTATGATCCAAGTATTTATTACAGTGAAGAACTAGAAATAACATATTTTTCATGATAGAAGGCTGATTAAATGACTTAGGACTTAGCTCTATGTTATGATATATAGCCATTAAAGTTGAATATGCAGTATTACCTTATAGAGTTTTTAGATTCCTTATTTTATTACAGTTAAGTAGAAGATTGCAAGCATGCATGCATGGATAAGTATAATGCCACTCTGTATTCCATTCATCAATTGGTTTAATAACTAGACATTCTGAGAGATCCTTGATGATTCCCATATTTCTTTCCCATTGTATAAACAATAGCTAAAATTACAGTAGTATCCTGATATTCTAATTTAAGGATTTGCTGTCAGTTAAACTATAAATACATTACTAATTGTTTGAGATTGTCACTTGAAGATACAGTAGGAAGCTTCTATGGTCATATTGTCCTTGAAGGGTGTTTTAGTCAGCTTTTTTGTTACTTATCACAAGGCCTGATAAGAAAGATGAAAAAATTTATTTGGGGCTCCTGGTTTCAGAGGTCTATGTTCATAGATGGCTGACTCCATTGCTTTAGGCTTGAAATGAGGCAAAAGATTATGGCTGAGATATGGAGGAGGAAACAGCTCAGGACACGGCAATCAAGATGCAGAGAGAGAGAGCTCTGCTCAACAGGGACAAAATATAAATCCCAAAGGCATGTCCCCAGTGACCTGCCTCCTCTAGCCATACCTTACTATCTTCAGATACAACCCATTTAATTTCTGTCATTGAACCCAGTTAATCCTTTTTAGTGGATTAATCCACTGACTGGATCACAACTCTCATAATCTAATCATTTCACCTCTGAACCTTCTTGCATTTTCTTACATGTGAGCTTTGAGGTACACTTCATATCTAACAAAGGAATTCAGTGACCTGATCTTTTCTTGATTCTTGAGCATCAATCCTACTTTTATCAGTACTTGGAAAACCAAATATGGTTCAGCTTTATATAAAATTGTACATACTCAGCTATTTTGATCCATAGAAATAGAAATTTCATATGGTACAACTTTATTTCTTTTTAAAGTAAGGAAATATGCAGTATTCTGCTACATATCTGAATCAGTGTAGTAAAATGTTTTTATAATGAGGTTTTATGTAATGGTTGTTTACTGATTATATAGAGATAGTTCTGGATTTGGAATACAGCGAGTATTTTTTGTCACTTTTTACCACATTGTAAAATGCTATTTAAAAAATTAATTTATCAGATAAAGTCACCTTTGTTTCTATAGGGACAGAACATCTCTCATGTTGATATGTAAAATGTAGCCCAACAGAGTTTCTTCATACCCAAAATTTATTGATTTCTCTTTTATATAGAAGTTTATATAAGTTAATCTTTGTCCCTCCACCCTCATCTGACTATATATGAAACAGTTCATAGAAATTTTGTTTCTACTTACAGGTCTCAGTATTTTAATGATGCATACCAGGAAGTACTGGACCTATTACTGCCATTAAATCTTGAAGTGGTTGTTGAGCGAAATATGTCCTGGGAATGGTACCAAGAAGTTCCTTGTTTTAATGTAAATGCTCAGCTAAAACCTATGGAGGTAACATTCTGGTTGCTCTTTGATTTCTGTTTTTGTTTTTGTTGTTGTTGTTTTTCATGGGAAATGTTGCTTTGGAGTATAAGAACTTTTTTGGGTAGAATTTTTATATAATCAGTTCGGTCAGAAGGGAAATTGTGACTTATTAGTCTAGAATTTTTTAATATTCTCCGTTTGCTCTTTTAACAGATACTCTAATTTAAGGATTTGCTGCCAGTTAAAATATAAATACAAATGAGTACTTACTGTGTGTGAAGCCTTGTGTTAGGTGCTGGAGATATAGTGACAAAGAAGATATGACATTTTACTTCATGTAACTTACAAGTCTAAGGCAGTGGTTGGTGGTGATGGTGATCTGGAATATGCAGTAGTTAGATAGTAAAAAGTGAATGGACACGTATTTAAAATAGTTATAAATTGTGATAAATTCCATGAAGGAAACAGTCAATTAGTTGTATTCATGGAGAATTTAGTGGACAGGTCTAGGCTGGAAATATTATTTGATAAGTTATCAGCATATAATATTTAAAACTATGGTAAAATATGAAATAACCTGTAAAAAAAAAAGTTACAGGAAGAGAATGTCTAGAGGAGTGGGGAGGTTGAAGGTGAAAATGGTAAATGTTGTCATCACCTTAGTTATAGCTTTGTTCATTGACATTACTTTGCAGATCTCTAACACACCACCCACAAGTCCTTATTTTTCCCTTCTGACAGGATTGAAGTCAAAACTATTATCACATGCTTTACTGAAGTGGCAGCAACATATACTCTGTTTATTCTTAAAGAAATCTACTTAGATCCTTCCCCTCCTTCCATCCCCAGTTTTCCTTTCTATTTCTCTATAAAATTTTATTCAAAAAGAGAAAACCATCATGTTTGAGATTTCAGACTTTTTAAGTCAAAATTATATACAGTGTTTAAAATGTGATGGTGTCAACTGAGAGTCTTTAAGCTTTTAGTAAGTAAGGTAATATGAATGCGTTAACTTATAGGGTTGGGGATGAATGGTGTCTTCAGATAAATTTTTGAAATATTTAAATTCTCTTTATATTGGTAAGAGAACAGATAGAAACTTAAAAAACATAAATAGCATATTCTACCCAGAATGCAGGGAGATCCACATCCCACTATGTTATTAGGCAGATTTTCGTGTGGCAACAGAGATTTTGTTTTCGCTCACTGTTCTCAGGAGACTTCATGCAGAATATTCATGTGATGCTGCAGATCACCTGCAAATACCTGGGTGCCTTCTGGGGCAGATTCACTAGGAGGAAGTTCAGTCTTCCCCTACCCTGATTCACCTGAACAATTAGCAAGTATTGCCGTAGCTCACTCCACAGCCCACATATTTTATCCCTTTTGGACCTCATGTTTATACCCTAGGACCTTATTCTCTGTCAGAAGCTGGAATGAAGTCATTTAGTCTCATGTATGCAGACCAAGTGCAACAACTTTTGATTTCTGCCTGCCCTGACTTGTAGGAGCCATATATCAGTGGTCTTGCAATCCTTACAATTCTTCTAGCTTCTTCCAGTGAGCTGCTGTCTAGATTGAAGAGTTAGGATTAAAAATCAGTATTTGAGGGGAATTCATTGTACTGTACTAATTGAAAGAAATGATTTAAAAGTTCTAACATTTAATTTCAGCTAACTAATTTATATGAACATATTATTTTTGCAATGCTTGCACCATAATGAGCACAAAATAGTGTCATGAGTAAAAAGAGAATGAATGAAAGTTTTTAAAAAAACATAGGTAGCATGAATTTTGCTCAAAATCTACTGATTTAAATGTTAATCTCATCAAACAAAAAACTTTAGAAGAATGTCTAGAATAATATTTGACAAGATATTTAGCTACTGTGAACCAAACTAATGAAACATACCATACCTTTGTGTGTACATACAATTAACCACTATATCTCTCATGATAGGTCCTATGGTGTTGGTATAGGCTAATTTCAAAACAAGTGGGGTTTGAAGTTAACTGTGAGGGAGTTATTGAAGTTTATGTGAACTTAAGCATTTTACTTAACTGTTTAGGTTTATTTTCTTATAAAATCAGGATTATATTTCACATACTTAAGACTTTTGTGAGATTGAAATAAAATAATTCATGCAAAACACATTATATATTTCATCACACAAATATACTGTTATTTTGGCTCTTCTATCTTTTATAAAATAGATGATTAATAATCAAAAGTGTCCAAAGTATTGGATAACTACTGACCAATGAAAGTTCATTTTAAAGGTTTAAAATTACTGGATTATTTGGCACATTCATAACAAGTAGTTCACTGCCAGTAGTTATCTAATTTAGTTGTGTATTTCACAAATTCCTAAAGATCACATGGCATTTAGAAAACTGAATGTTCTTATGCATTAAAATTTTAATCTAAATTTCAGTTAGAGAGCTAAAATTAAATAAGTTTTTCATTTTTCTTACATGAGAATTTTAAGGGAAGGATATAGGGGTATTAAAAAGAACAAATCTTTTTTTTTGTTGTTGTTATAACAATACCGAGACCCTCAAATAACTCTCAGACCACACATTGCCATTCCAATTAAGCTTTTATTGCTGGCCACCAGCAGACACTGTAACTCTCTAAAAGCGAGATGGTCAGAGTGACGCGCCTACCTTCAGTTGGCCTCATATTTAAGCCAAAAACAAAAACAAAAAACCCACAAAAGGGACGTTTGAGGGTTTAGCCAATAAAAGCAAGAAAGTACAGAAGCTGAATTGTGCAGTTAATGAGACAGTATAATGGGTACTTTGGTATTTCCCACAAGACTTTCCAGTTGGCATAGCAGCAAGCAAGCAGAAAGGAAGTGGGTCAAAATGATCCTAGTTGAGTACAAGTTAGAGAATGGTTACTAAAGTCTAGACAGTTAATCTCTGACAAGGTACGTTGCCCTAGAAATATAGAAAGCAAAGAGAACAATTTTACATTCTATAAGAATTGCTAGGTAACTGTTGATGGGTACAGAGTTGGGGCTTTCCTATGGGAGAAGCATTTCTTACATGATATGGAGTCTCAGGGTAAAATGGAGTCTGTTTGGTCATTGCCTTACCCTGGCCCATAACATTTTTCCTTGTATTTTCTTTTTTTATTTTCCTAAATTATTTTTTTAAATAGTTTATTCTTAGTCAAGAAGATATGACTACTATTTTTAAAACATTATATGGCAACTTATGGTATGAAGATGTTAATGCCTCACCTGCTAGTGTGAAAGACCACTCTGGCAATTCTAATGGAGTAGCTAATGCTTCATACCATTCAGGAGGTAAGTTAACCTTAAATTGGTTCCCCCTTTTCATGCTTTCTGTCCTCTCTCTATTTATTCTCCCCCTCCTCTCCTTTGTCCCCTGCCCCATCTCCCTCTTTTCTCCTTTCTTCTATTCCTTTTTTCCTTCCTCCTCTCTTTCTTTCCTTTCCCTTTCTCTTTCTTCTTCTCATAGGATTAATAAATCTCTTTCTAATGCTCTAATTCCATTTAGACATTCATAAATTATCTCTTTTATTAATCATTCTGTTGATATTTATCCTTTGAATTAAAATTCCTAGTTCTGTTTTGTTACTTTTTTCTCAACTTTCCTATAGGTCCTTCCATCTGCTTGCAACCCTCTTCCTTATCCTTATAATAGTATACAATGGTATTAGGAATATCAAAATATTATGAGTGTATATAGAAAGATGATCATTGTAGATGATGGGTTTTAACATATGTTTTCAAGATAAATGGCTGAAAAATAGGATAGAAGGAATCATAACTTAGAAAGTTGTTTTCCAGTGTTAGATCCAAAGTGCTATGTGGAATATAGCTGGGTGCTAAGTTCAGTACTAGCGTGTGAAAAATTGGGTTAGTTAGGAATGCTAAGATGATTTTGATGCAGAATAATGAAGTGTTATCCTCATTGTACAATTTGGAGATCCCCAAACCTACCTACCATAAAGTAAAACCTACTAATCCATGATGTCTACATTTTCAAAGCCCTGAGGTATTATATAGCTTTACCACTTGGAGAATCCTTACACAAAAATAACCTTACATTTACAGCAATACTGGAAACCCATCCTTACTATCTAATCAACACAGTCCTTTATTGTTAAACATAAATGGTCAGATTTGAGGAAAATCACAAGAGCACAAGCATGAAAGAAACAATAAATACATTAGTGTTTTCTAAAATAAACAAATAATTGAACAGTATATACTTACAGTGCAGAAGTGTAGCATACTAAATTTTGCATAATTGAGCCACTGTTAGCAACTCTCTAAAATAAAGAAATTCTCTTCTCTCACATTCTATTTTAGAGAGTTGCTTTATCGAAACTGTAGCAGCAGAGGTAGTATCATAATAAACTACAAATCCCCAAAAACACGGGGATGAAAAAGTGTTGCTTCAGTTCAGAAAGCCCAATTCCAGAATAATAGATACTGCAGGGGAAATATCTGAGAGAATGAAAGCTTCCAAATAGGTATTAAACTCTGTATTTAAGTAAAATATCAAGTCAACTCTTATAAAGAATCTACCAGATTTTAAGCAGCTTGAGTAAACTATGTCTCCCCATATAAAAAAAAATTTCCTTTTTTTAACTATCAGAACCAAAAATGGTAAGATTTTAAAAGTTACGAGAAAAAAAGAAACAGGCTGCCTACTAAGGGACTAGATTATTGATTGTGTGTGTGTGCAGGGGTGTATTGCTTTTGCATTATCAGTAGAACTTGATAAGATGGGAATCTGGATAATAGGTGAAAATAGAGCAATATTTCAGAATTCTGAGAAAAGTGATTTTAAAGCTAGGATTCTGTATATGGCCAAACCATCATCTAAAATGTGAAAACAAAAGAATTCTTAGATTTTTCATTGATTAAAGTGTACTCTGGGCTGGGATTCTGACTCAGTGGTAGAGCACTCTCCTCGCACTCTGGATTGGAACCTTAGTACCACATAAAAATAAATAAGTGAAATAAAGGTATTGTGTCCAACTATAACTAAAAAATACAGATTAAAAAAATGTACTCAAACTCCCAAATATCCATACCTAAAAAATTGAGTTTAAAAATATGTTCCAGCAAGGTAAACTAGGAATCAGAAAGTGGAAAATATCAAACAATAATGGTTCTACCCAGGAGTGCATTTTAAAGAAATCCCAAAATTATATATGTGACTAGGCTGGAAGTACTTGGTTTTCATTAAAAAGGAACCAAAACTATTTAATGAACAAAAAAAACAAAAAAAAAAAAATAGAAAAGAAGAAGAAGAAAAGTTAGGTAGAATTATGTCCTATATCCTAAGAAAAGTAGCATAAATTGTACATAATTTGTGTGATGAGGACTTAACTATATTTTATAAGTGGCATAGAGAGAATGGTAAGTTTTCTGTTTTTAAGAAAGAAATCTGTATATTGTAATGCAGAAATACAGTGTGCTGAATTTTCCATGATTTTTTAGCTACTGTTAGAATGGGAAAGAAGAATTTTCATTTTTGAGAGATGCACCAGTGTAGCTAAAGTTCCAGAGGCAGTATTATAATAAACTATAAATCTCTTCACTGAAAAATATTACGTAGTCCAACAACACATGAAAGACTATGTAGGTGCCAAACCATTTGTAGATGACCTTCTTCTGGGTTAGGATTTCTTACCTAGCAGAGCAGCTCCCTTGCTGTGACCTATTAAAAGTTAGCTCTTGATATAAAGGTTTGGAGGGCAAGGGAAGTCAGAGAAAGAGTATATAAATAAGCAAATGTTATTAACCATAATAATAAGGAAGTAAAGACAGAACTAATTAAATCTGGAGAGGAAGATGTGACAGGTGAATGAAATAATATATAAATAATCGGAATTATGAAGATAATATCTAAAATTGATGGCACAAGAAATAAAGGTTAGAATATATTGTTATTTTAATAATTTTCTTCTGGAAATTTTTATACCTATGTCATTTGAACTGAATAATGATCAACATAAAATATGAAAAAATTTGTGAACTGCAACTTAAGCAATGCTGAAAGAAATTTGTAGCTATAAAGAATTATATTAGTCTACTAGACTATTATAATAGACTTACAATGCCAAATGTTGATGGAGAAAATGGAATTGCTAAAACTTTCACATATGACCTGTAGGAATATGAAGTAGTATAACCAGTTTGACAAAGAGTTTGTCAGTTAATATACACCTACCTATAATAGAGTAACTCCACACTTAGGTATTTAACCCCACCCTATTCCAAAATAAGTGTGTATATACACAAAATGATTTATTCATAGAAGTCCAAATCTAAAAATAATCCAAATGTTTTTCAATAGGTGAATGAATAAACTGTTTTCAGAGTGCATGATTACTTCCATAAGTGAACTACTGATGCATGTAGTAACATAAATAAATCTCAGAAACATTATGTTCACTGAAAGAAGCCAACCATGAAATGGTACAATCTGTATTATTCCATTGAAATAGAATTTAGGCACAGACAAAATTAATCCATGATGACTGAAATTAGAATGGTAGGGATGTTGGAATTTGACTGGAAAGATCAATTAAGGAGACTTTCACGGGGGGGGATTTAAATGTTCCATATGTTGGGGGGTTGGTTACATGGATGTATACATTTATGAAGTCTCATTAAGTTGTTCGGATAGGATTCATTTATTTCATTTTATGTAAATTTTATCTTAATTAGAAATAAATTACCTGGAATGTTGATCTTGTCTCTTGAGTTGGGTTGAATGAGAATTAGGAATTGATGTGTTTTCCTTATAAGCCCATTTAATATATATCATATACATATAACATTCTCATTAAAATTTAAATGTAGGAAACACAATATTTGAGTCCTGATTAGTGGAACAATTTTTAAAATAACGTCTAATGTATCTTATTTGGTCTTATTTTTTAAAAGTAAAATTTCAATATTAAACTATGTGACAGGTGCTTTATTTACTTATTGTTAAGCACTTTAGTATACATTTTACACATGCTGATTTACTTAATCTTCAAAACAAACCCTGTGGTTAGTTTTATTATTCCCAAATTATAAAAGTAGAAATGGAAGCATTGATAGAAAACAGGAGTGCTGAGTGTTTAATATTCCCAAATTATTATGCAAAGAATCCCAAGCCAGAAATTCTATATGTGAATTTCTAATATTTTTAATTTTCTTGAATAACATCTTAATTTGTTGAATCTATTTCATGGTTGTTCTAATAAGCTACTTTTCATATTTTTTTCTCTTACTCAATAATTTTTCAAGGAGCAACTATGGTAACAGCTGCTGTTGTAGAAGTACATTCACATGCTTCTCAAGTTAAGACAACACTAAATATGAGTTTCAAAACTGATTATCTCACCATGGTACTGTATAGTCCAGGTCCTGAACAGGTAAGTTGAGGAAGAAAAGAAAATACATTTTATTGTGAAAAATTATATATGTGAATGTTTATCAGTAATGCTTGTTCATATTCTGTGTGTATTTTGTAGTGTTCTTCTGAAGAAATGGTTGATCTTTTCACTTTAAATTGACAATAATTTTGACCATTTCCATTTTTAATTAGCTATTACTTTTATATAACTAATAATGTGAAAAATAAATTATTTTTGGCATTTTATTGGAGAGTCCTTTGAAAATATAGAATTTTGGAGCAGAGGTTATATATAGGTCAGCAGTAAAGTACATACTCAACATGTGCAAAGCCCTGGAATTAGCCCCTGCATCACTCCCAAAATTAGAGAATTTTGATATTTCAGATAAGCAGATATAATAATTTCTAGTAGTTTATATCATAAAGTATACTTTAAACCTATTTTTGTATAATTTTCAGATTTCTGTTTGGATTTCTTATTCCACAGGAGGCTTTTACAGATGTTCGTGATCCTTCTCTGAAACTTGCTGAATTTAAGTTGGAAAATATTACAAGTAATTTAAAAATGTATACAGATGAATCAGTATTTTCTTCTTTCTCATTAAGAAACTGTATTTTAGATGATAAAAGACCTCACATCAAGAAAGCAACTCCTAGGTATGTATTATAATAGCATTCTGAATTTTTACCTTAGAAATTGTTGGTATATTGTATAGAGCATACCTTTAGGATTACATTTTAACTTTCTGTTTACATCTTAGGATCTTCAGAGCTTCAGTTCAGTCAAGTCATGATATTCATGTTACATTTGAAATGTTCTGGTTTAGTTATATGCTCTTACTAGACAGTTGATAGATTCATTGAATAAATAAAAATAAATGGGAAAAAGCATGCTGACTTTCAAAAATGATAATTTCTTAAACATGAAGTTTCTAATTTATGAAGTATTTATGCTCTAGAAGTTTAAAGGTCTGTTATTTATAGCACTTTGTGGGTCTTCCTAGGAGACATGACTTCAGAGTGCTTATTTGTTCTTAGTAAAAGAATAAGAGGCCTTAAAGTTTTAATTGGTGTATTTGGTTATTTGTAAATTACTCATACATAGGCATTGTTATTGTGTTTTTCAGAATGATAGGACTGACAGTTGGGTTTGACAAAAAGGACATGATGGATGTTAAGTTTAGGAAAATCAGAGATGGTTCTGTGACTGATGCAGTCTTTCAAGAAATGTATATTTGTGCAAGTGTGGAATTCCTGCTGACAGTTGCAAATGTCTTTTTGGAGGCATACACAGCAGGGTCTATTACAGAGACCAATGTTCAAGCATGGACTTCTAAAGAAGGTTAGTTACCAGTTAAAATATTTAATATCTTTACTTTTGAAATACTATAATAGCACTTATCTTGGTTAGCCATTTAGATGATCAGAGTAAATGCAGAAATAAATTAAAATCTTTATTGTTCAGAGTAGGAGGAAACCCTTAATGTGTTTTCTGAGAGTATATGCAGTTTGTATTTTTTTTGACAGTGCAAATATATATTGGGTTAAAAAATTATGAGACCTACATTGGAATAAGTAATTTGCTTATCTACAGGCAACAATATGAACAAATTAAGTTGCCGAAAGAAAACAAGTAGGGAGAATAAGAACCAACCACATCTTTTTGGGATCAAAGATAATATCTTAATTTAATATATTTGTGTTTTATTCTGTTCTGTTGATAAATAGCTTTTACATATAATTTTTATATTTTTTAACATATTTCATGTAGTAGAAAGAGTATCAGGTTGAGATTTGGAATCTAGATTAGGTTCCAGTTGTGCCCTTAAATAGTAAAGATTTTGTCCCACAGTTGTTAGTGTTTCTCCAAGTCATGAGAGAATTGGAGCTTGAATGAGCATGTACTTAGTATGCATGAGTCCATTGGTTTAATCTTCAGTGCCACCAAAAACAAACAAAAAAACAAAGAGAAATTTTGAGTAGATTATTTTCGGATCTATGATTCTTTTATTTTCCTTTTGAACTTAGAGAAACATGTTTTTCTCATAAATAATCAAATACTTATAAGTAATACTTATATAACAAATACATATATATTTAAGATGTTGAATTATTATTTTTATTTTAGCACCTGTACAGGAATCAGAGAAATGGGAAGTTAATATTCTTATTAAAAACCCTGAAATTGTGTTTGTGGCTGACATGACAAAAAATGATGCTCCTGCCTTGGTCATTACAACACAATGTGAAATTTGCTGTAAAGGTGACAGTAAAAATAGTACAATAACTGCTGCTATTAAAGATCTCCAAATCAGAGCATGCCCATTTCTTCCAGCCAAGAGAAAAGGCAAAATCACTACTGTGAGTTTACTAACTAATTATTTGCTTAATTGTAACTGATTTAATATATAATATATATCATTTTTAGGAGTGAAAATTTCCTATTTTCTTTCCAACCTTGTTCTGTATAATAACTTTGTCTCTGTTCGAAGAGCCTCATTTAGAATATTATTATACCAGTTTTCAAATTTTTTTTTCATTTTTGTAGATGTTCTTCATTGTTGTGTGTATTTGTGGGAATTTTCTTACTGAGAAGTTGGTTTCATCTTGGTACTTTTCAATTAAGATCTTACTCTGAATTTCTAACCATGTCAGTTTCAAACTGCTCTTTGACTTTTAGGACTTTCTACCAGTTGTTTTCTGTGTTGTTTCAGTTTTATTATTTTCCCTTTTTATCCCCCATTTGGGTGTTTTGCTTGTCTACATATAACATATTTTCAACCTCAGCCATTTGCTTTGATATACTTCATATTTGAATTTTACTCACTAGTAGTCACTTGGTTTTCTTCCTCCTTAAAACTCTTAATTCTTAGTTTATTTGCATAGATTCCCAATAGTTTAAAAAATACACTTGAAAATGATTAGGCTTCTAAAGGAGTAATAGAAGCATAAATATTCTAATTATGAAATATAATAGACATTATAATTTTAAGTTAATATATATTGATTAAGATATTAAATACAGCTGGGGTGTGGCTCAGCGCTCTACCTAAATGTAAAATAAAGATATTGTGTCCATTTAAAAGTAAAACAATAAATATTTTTTAAAAAAAGATATTAAATAGGCTGGCCATGGTGGCACACGCCTGTAATCCAAGGCCTGTCCATGTTGTGTTGAACGTCCGAACCTCAGGCTTTGGAGGCTGAGGCAGGAGGATCACGATTTCAAAGCTGGCCTCAGCAATCTAGTGAGGCACCAAGCAACTTAGTGAGACCCTATCTCTAAATAAAATACAAAAAGGGCTATGTGTGTTGCTCAGTGGTTAAGCCCCCTGGGTTCAATCCCCATTAAATGAAAAAATTAAGATACTAAATAAACCTTGTCTTAGTTTGCAAAGTTGCTCATTATTAAGAAAAGGGAGGCTCTAAGGAAAATAACCATGAGCTAGATCTGTCTTTAAAGCAAACAGCAGGTGTCAAGTATATCATCCACAGCAGCAATGAATGTATCAGCATTAATGATGGGGGCCAGTTAGTTCTGAAAGATGGAAAAAGTATAGTAAATTAGGGGGAAAGAGATGTATTAGGAAGTTAGGAAAGAGTTTACATTTTCAAAAAGTGAGAGAATGCAGAAGAAATATAGTAGGTAATTTTTATATAGAAAGAAGGAAAAATAGAAGCAACAAATGAAGTGATATTATTACTTTTAATGTTTGATTTTATATATAAAACTTTTAGTATGTTGAGATATAAAGTCTTATACATCTAATTTTATGACAGAAAATATCTTATTAAGTATAGCATTTTATTGTGTGACTATTGGTAGACTGTTGAAAAAATGAATAGTTTTTCCTATTCTTATGTTAAATTATGTTGATAGATTTTCCTGTAGTATACCAGCATTATGTTTATTGGTTGGGGTTATCTGTTGCGGGAGAGTGGGGAGGCGCTTTTCACTGGAAGTCATATTTATGGTGATAACCTAAAGGATAAGTAGATCTTAAACTTGGGCAGGAGGAATCATAGGAATGTATTTTGAGAAGAAGGGAACTGTATGTGTTGAAAAAACTGAGTTTCATAGAACATATTTCCACAACGTATTTACCCAGACATCACTTTATCTCATATATTTTATCTTTTCTCTTTGTTATTCAGTGGTCTTCAACTTGGGGCAGTACTCCCTATCACAATCAATCTCTGTAATGTAAGGAGTCTATTGTGAGCATTTGTTAAGTGCCTGTTCATGTTTGGTTGAACCTTATAAGATTGCTTCTTTGAAGGGGAAGCACTAATAGTCTCCACAGTAAAAATCATATAACAAGGGAGAAATATGGTGAGGGGTTTATAGTAGTAAAAAAGAATAAATTTTTCTGGATTCCTTATAGACAGAGTCTCTGAATATAGATCCTAAATAAAAGAGATTCCCCCCCCCCAAACAAAAGAATAATAGTATTTTTTTGTGTGATTTCTTTGGGGGAATGGTTTTAGATTTTTTTCTTCCAATTTAGTTTTCTCTGTAAGTGTATTAAACAGAATTCCAAGATTTCTTCCCCCGATTTTTGTTCTTTCTACACAGTTTTTCCTCCCCTATGGATGATATTAGGTTACTAATCAGTTGACTATGTGTTAATGGGGAGTGTGATTATTCTCAGTGAAATATTAGAAATATGATGAAGCATCAGGGAGATGCCGTCTTGCTGTTTTGAATGAAAAATTGCCATGTCAAGGAGCGGGCCACATGGCAAGGACCTAGGGAACAGGAAGTAGTCCCTGACTGACAGAATACATATGGGATCTTAGTGTTAGGGCCACAAGGAAGTGAATTCCACCCTCAATTTTAAAGAAGTTGAAAGCAGGTCTTTCCATAGTCAGTCCTCCTTTTTAAGATGAATCCTGTAGGGTATATAAAGAACTCAAAAAGCTAAACACCACATGTTTTATTTTATTGGCCACATGTTCAATTTTGATTTCATCAAAATTCCTGACCCATAAATCTGGGAAATAATACATTTGTGTTATTTTAAACCACTAAATGTGTGGTTATTTGTTTCACAGTATTATAAAACTAATATGTATAGTGTTTTGCTCCAGAAGTAAGATGCTGTTGTAATAATTTATTTTAAATGTGGGAGCATCTTTGGAACTGGGCAGTAAGTAGACATTAGAGAAATTTTGATAATGATAGAGTAAGTCTTAATTATATCAAACACACTCTTGACAAAAATGTGGTGAAGGAGAACATTACCAGTGAGGACTCAGAGGAGAATAAAATATACATTATTGGAAACTTGGTGGAAGAGGAGATTGGTACACAGTGATTAAGAAACTTCACAGAATTGACTTATGGTTACATAGAAAATGGAACTTGTGACAAAGTTTGGCATGTATAGCTAAAGAGATTGCCTCTTGCCTGTTTTTTTTTTTTTTTTTTTGCTGTTTATAATAAAATACTGGAAGACAGAAATAAATTGTGGAAAAATGTTAAAAAGAACCAGAATTTAATGATTTTGATAATTCTCAGCCTTTCCAAATGGCAAAAGCTTCTAGAAAGCAGAACTGGGTGTCTAGAGGGTAATCTGGAGAAAAGATTGTGTGATTATATAATGTTTTGCTAACACCTAAGAAAGATAAGTGTTCAGTCACTTAAAGGTCCCCTTCACAAGATTAGGATTTGTTTGGTATCTTAATCCAGAAGGCCTCTATTAAGCACAAGGGTGTTACTCATTAGTCTTCTCATGAGGAGACCAGGTTTTCTTAAAAAAGAGATATTTGGATGTGGCTTTTGTGTAATGGAATGAATTCTCATGAAATCCACAAAAGACTTGCAGACTTCCTAAGAAAATTATTTTGCCTGAAACACTATTATATTTAGACTGACAAGGACTGAGTATCAAATGAATAGAGACTCTTGAACCCCCAAAATTCTACCATTGAGGGGAAGAATGATAAAACTATAAAGGTGCAGATTTACCCTATCTTTTATAAAGAAGGAAGGAAGATTTAGAGAGAGGAGCTGAGAGAGAATTATTCCCAGGTTTGAAAACTGAATCAAGAAACTCATTTGCCTGGCTAGATTTCAGAATTGTTTTGGATTCTGTTGGCTTCTTTTTTCATTCTTTTTCCCCATTTGAACTGGAATATATGTAAACTATTGTCCTAGTGTATGCCACCATCAAGTGTTGGGAATGGTGGGTGCTGGTAACTCACCTCAAGTTTTAGAAGGAGCGAAATTGTGTCTCAAAAACTATATTTAAAAATGGATTATATCCAGGAACTTCATATGCAGCTGGTTATGATTTACATTTTAAACTTTATGTTGATAAAAAATAGATGAAATTTTGAATCAGTGAGACATACAAGTCAGATATATGATGAAAAACATAAATTTTAGGAAAGGGTAAATATATTTTGCATTTGGGAGAGACATAAGTTATTCGACAGGCCAGAGGACAGAACTCTGCTTACCACAGTTAGGGAAAATTAAATTCGTTTTTAATTATATTACAGAATTAATTAGTATGCCTAATGTATTGGTAAATTTTCAATTTGCCTTGCCTTTTATAGCTTTTCCTTATGTAGATGAACTTTTTTCATTTTAGTTGTACAGTGGATTAATACTGTGATAAGATTTTATTTTAGTGATTTTAGTGAAGTAAAACACATAGTGTAAGTTCTTTAGATTTTTCATATATTTAAGAATATTAAAGAAGTGTTGAGACAGGCATGTGTGCTTTTTGTCTTTTGCCATGTGATGCCATGTGCCACTTCTAGACCCTGTGAGCAAAAAAGGTCATTACCAGAACTGAGCTGACGCCAATACCATGCCCTTGAACGAGGAGTCTTCTCTTGGAGTGAAATTATCTTTCCCAGGAATATGTGTCTTCCTGATAATATCAGCCACATTGCTCCAAATGTTTTGCTTGCTATTATATGAACATTTCGGTCTGACACATCTCTTCTCAGATAAAGCCCTTTAGATGATTGTTGAACCCTCAGAAGAAAATAAAATGAGAAGAATTGGGATATATTCTACTTTGCCAAAACAGTGAAGTAGATTGGGATTCCTATACTGATGAGCATGTGGAACTGAATTCCCTTGGAATTCCCTATAAAAATAGGAAAAATTTAGTATCCTGTCTAGGGGACTATAAAATGAAGATGCCAAGAGTCAAGAATCTAGGAGTCTTCTCTTAGCTCGGTGATACAGACTTAAGATTCCTCATAAGATTGCAATGAAGCTGTCAGCTGGGGAATCAGTTTTCTGAAGCTTTACTTGGCAAGAATCCAAAGGACTGCTTGTGATATATTTTCTGCCAAAGTGGGTGACCAAAGAGAAGGATAAAAATATCATTAGTGATGGAAGCTGCAGTGACTTTAAGAGTATAACCTCTATATTTTATTGGCCACATGTTCAGAGCCACCTTATAGGATGACAGTTATAAGATTTATGATCAAATGTACTGTCTCATTAATTTATGTCAACAATGGAATGAGATAAAAATGGCTGCTAATCATTTGATACTCAGTAGTACATATATTGACTGACATTTTGATCAAATGGGTATTCTGATTTTTTATATCTTTATTTTATTTATTTGTTCAGTTTTATGCGGTGCTAAGGATCAAACCCAGTGCCTCCCACATGCTAGGCAAGCACTGTTACCACTGATCTGCAGCCCCAGCCCCTATTCTGACTTTTTGATGTTAATGCCCAACCAATTGTTAAATATTTTGATTCTTAGTTCTTGAGATAGGTATTATTATCCTCATGTTATAGATGTTGAGTATGAGGTTTCTAGAACTCAATTCCTCATTAAATAAATGCCAGAACCGGGGGAATAACATTTCTATTTAATGTGTTACATTAACATTATTGCAAATGCAATTATTAATACTTTATTATAAAGAATGATTAGCGATTAAGAAGTGTTGAATCAGTTGGTTGTTTACAGTTAGTTACTTTTTATTTAACATAGCTTTATTAGTATAAAGGTCTTGAAATAGAAATGTTTTAATATTTGAATGTTAATTTAGTGGTAATAATTTTTTTTCTCATAGGTTTTGCAGCCCTGTGACTTGTTTTTTCAGTCTACTCAGACAGGTACAGATCCACAAGTGATTGATATTTCAGTAAAATCCCTTACACTAAAGGTGGGTTAAAATATAATCACTCAAATCTTTTAGTACACTTTTTTTTTTAAAGTAGTAAAACATAGAAACAAGCAATTATTATAGCAAGTTTTTAAATCATTAAATAAGGAAAAAAATTAGTTTTTGATAAGTTTTATGAAACATTGTTTGTAAAATTTTTAGCATAGATTTTTATAATGTATGTTATTCTATGTTTTATTACTGACATTCGATAGCTTTTATTAATATCTACTATCGTTATAGTACATATAGTTGAAATTATACTTGATAGTTCAATATTTACAAGATTCATGTAAATACTTATCAGATTGAAGTTAGTTGTAGTAATGTAAAAATTAATGTAAGCCACAAATTATATCTCCTATTTTGTGTTAATAAATGTTTAATATTAATTGCTTATGATTATTTAGCAAATATATTTAATGTATTTTGAAATTTTGTTTTTCCATTTAGGTTTCACCAGTTATCATAAATACCATGATTACTATAACTTCAGCACTTTATACAACTAAAGAAACCACCCCAAAAGAGATGGCTTCTTCTTCAGCACATTTATGGGAAAAGAAGGATACAAAGAATTTAAAAATGTGGTTTCTTGAAGGGTCAAATGAAACTGAAAAAATATCTCCCTCAGTTGAATTGGTACCCAAAGGAGAGATGATGAAATTGAACATTGATTCTATTTTTCTGGTTCTTGAGGCTGGAATTGGTCATAGAACAGTGCCTATGCTTTTGGCAAAGTCATGTTTTTCAGGGGAAGGCAAAAACTGGAGTAGTCTAATAAATCTCCACTGTCAGCTTGAGCTAGAAGTAAGCATATATTTATTTTTGTAGTTTTTATAACAAATAGTACTATGTATAAAATATTTTAGGTATTATATGTAGATATTTATGCCTTTAGAGAGGATTTTATCTCAAGTAAATTGTGAAGGGCAAATCTGGACCATTATTTGTTAGCCAATCGAGGAGGGTGCTGAGGGAGGGATTATATTGTAGGAAGCTCCTGAATGACATGCAGCGTGTTTTTCATGCAGAAGAAATAGCATGGCCAGAGTCATGTTTACAGGAACTATTGTGGAAGATCATTTTTAAAAATATCAAGATGCTTCAATTCATTTAAAAAAGATTAAAAATTCTTTCTTTAGGTTCATTATTATAATGAAATGTTTGGTGTATGGGAGCCTTTGCTTGAACCATTAGAAATTGATCAGACTGAAGACTTTAGACCATGGAATCTTGGAATCAAGGTAAATTTATGTATATAAAATATATGTATATAAATATTTATGTATATATTTGTATATAACATGTATATATATATATATATGTATAATGTGTGTTTATATTTATGAAGTGTGTGTTTAATGACTTTATTTGAGCCATTTATATTCATGGCAAAATTGAGAAGATACAGAGATTTTCCATATACTCTTTGCCACTCTACATGCTTGACTTTGTATTACCATCCCCCATCAAAGTATATTTGAAGTCTGAAAAGAAGATGAAGTCTAGATAGGGCAGAGGGGTGGAAGGGGAAGGGAGGGGGCAGGGGGTTAGCAAAGATGGTAGCATATGATGGACATCATTATCCAAAGTACATGTATGAAGACACGAATTGGTGTCAACATACTTTATATATAACCCGAGATATATTAAAAAAAAAGTTTTCAAAAATTGATGTCTACACCATATTAGACACTTTAATTTTACACTTGATCTTAGCCAAAAGGCCGAGAAGCGATACACTTTAATTTTAATCATAGCAAAGTTGAAGTTTTCTCATTGTCAACTTTGCGCACATTCTTCCCTATTTGACCTCTGAATGTGATTTTCAAATCCAAAGCCAGTGCTACCTGTCCTTCTAATACAAATAATTAACATTACTGATGTATAAGGCATTGTTCTGAATAAAGTATATTTGCTTTAATCCCCACAATGCACCCCCACCACCACCACTGAAAATGATGCAGTTTTTATCAACATTTGTAACTGGACTAAGACCAGAGAGGTTAATGGACTTCCATAAAGTAATAATAGCTATAAAGTAGAATAGATGGATGCAAATTTAGCTGCAGTCCCCATTCTTCGCTATATTATGTGTTCTTTTAGGTTGTGGTCTATTCCAGGTTTCTTTTACTTTCTGGAGGGAATATTTTTCTAACAATCTTATCTATCTTTCTATCCATAAAAACTTTATAGAGAAAAATGTGTATTTTTTGCTTAAAAGATATTGTAAATTTATGTAATCATGATAATCAGGGCTTTTAGATGGAAAAATAGTGCTTCTGAAGCAGAGATTTTAGTATTACCAGCATGTTTGCTGCCTAATAGTGACTAGTCAAACTACAAACAAATTTTTAGGGGCTATAAAGCCACTTAAAGTAACAACAGAAATGGCTAGCCTGGCATGCCCAGGTTAATGTATTATATCACTTGATTTAATTTTCGAGATATTTTTAGATGAAGGATTTAGATAAGTGAATTCCTTTGGTAATTTTTAGGTCAGAATATGCATGGCAAGTAGGTCTTTGAATCCTAAAACAGGGTAAATGTTCTTGATTCATAATGATAGCATGTCCAAGTAAATTTAGGAATGAATGAATTTATTGCCCTTTGTAATAACAATATTATTGGATTTGTCTCAAGTTTGTTTTTACTTTGTAGAATGAAATATGTTGTGTTCCTAGAAGTGAATTCTTTTTTATATGTCACAATTTATCATTTTAGATGAAAAAGAAAGCAAAACAAGCTATTGTTGAGTCAGATTCTGAAGAAGAAAACTACAAAGTGCCAGAATATAAAACTGTCATCAGTTTCTATTCAAAAGATCAGTTAAACATTACATTATCCAAATGTGGCCTTGTAATGTTAAGTAATTTAGTTAAGGTAAGAAAATTTGAAACTTTTAATGTTGATATAATGGACTGAGTTGACCCCTTTTTTGAGTACATTTATTGTTAATTTAATTGTCATATATTCTGCTTATCATTTAGTTCTTCACATTTTCATTTAAGAAAACTGTTCCTCATTAGGCATTTACCGAAGCTGCTACTGGATCTGCACCTGTCTTTGTAAGGGATCTAGCACCATTTATGATTTTAAATTGTCTTGGACTTACGATCTCTGTTTCACCAAGTGATTCTTTTAATGTACTCAATGTTCCTCTGGCAAAGTCATATACATTAAAAAATATGCAAAGTTTAAGTATGGATTATGTCCGAACTAAGGACAATGACCATTTTAATGCAATGACCAGCCTAAGCAGCAAACTCTTCTTCATTCTTCTTAGTAAGTGATAAATTTCCTTCTTGACGTTTTATTCAAAATTACATTTTACCTATTTGTAGTGTGTATGTGTATAGGGTGTATGTGTATAGGCTATATGGTATATATGTAGGTGTGTGTGTTGTTGGGATGGTGGTGGTGGATTTTTAATAGATTGAGGCTTTTTTTTTTTTTTTTTTTTTTTTTTTTTTTTTTTTTTGCCTTTGCAGCACTTTGCATCACTAAATATGTGTTGTTCAAATCTACTTTATTTATGTTCTCCATTTATTTAGAGCAGGCTAGTTAACTGCTTTATTGTGGGGAGGAAAAAATGTTGTATCTCTTCCAGTTTTTATAAACCATAGGCATTTGGTGACTGTTTTAGTCATATGTGGTATAAAGTATTAGATATTTTACCAGTTTTGTAGCTTAGTGAATTCAAAGAGTTTGAATTCATACAAAATTCTTAAATTATCATACTACCTAGTCATTATGAAAAACAGTTCCAAATCTTTACCCTTACCACTTTCTGATACTCTGATATTTATGTAGCTATCGAGGAGAGGGCATCATTTGAAAAAGGTAATTCAATTTGGGGGACAGGGAGCAGACTACAAAAATATTGCTCATTCTTCTAGTTAAGAAATAATGCATAATGGGTGTTTCAGAACATTGTCAGTGGATTGATCAGTTTTAGCTCTGTTTGTTTTTGCACTAACATTTCTATGATTGGGAATAAAGTGAGTGAAATTTATATAAATAAGTAACTTCACAACTCAATACAACATGTATATATTAGGTAAGTATATACAAAATTTTGTTTAATCATATAGCTAAAAAGTTACAGAAGTAGTTGAAATAAATGAAAACTAAAAAATTTCAGTTCCATTAGTATTTTCTAATGTCTGTCTCAAGGTATTAGTGACAGCAACTCAGAGATCACTATTCTTGAATTTTATAATAATAATTATCATTGCTTAGATATTTTTAAAAGGTTTAAACTGGGCCTAGTGATACATACCTAAAATACCAGCTACTCAGGAGGCCAACTTGGGCAACTTAGACCCTATCTCAAATTTAAAAATAAATAAAAATAAAAAAGAAATAGGATGTGGCTCAGTAGTAGAGTACCCTTGGGTTCAATCTCCATATCACAAAACAGCAAAAAATAAAATTTTAAGACCATCATCTGATATTTTGGTATTTACCATACGTAAAATTAATATATAGTAAATTACAGTAAAAACTTTCAAATATCTGTATTTAATTTAGCTCCTGTTAACCACTCGACTGCTGATAAGATTCCTTTAACAAAAGTAGGACGATGTCTGTACACTGTAAGACACAGAGAATCTGGAGTTGAAAGATCTATTGTTTGTCAAATTGATGCAGTAGAAGGAAGTAAGAAGATAACAGTTCGCTCACCAGTGCAGGTATGAAATGATTGATTTGGAGGGGAGATTCTTTATGCTTACTTATTATTACTAAATGGATACAAACTATAATAGAAGTAGGTTAATATCAAAGAGAATATCTCATCAGTAGCCACACTACTAGAAGAATTTGTTCAGTATATATCTTAAAATTTTTTATAGAATGGCTTTATAAGATATTATGTAAGAAAAATCATCAGTATTTTCTTTAGGTTTTTATTATATATATATATATATATATATATATATATATATATATATATATCCTTTCTTTTCAATTAGAAAAAATTATATAGCTTTATCAAGGTATTGGCAATAAACTGCATATATTTTAAATTGAGTTTTGGTATAAAAACACTTATGAAACTTGATCATAGTCAAGGTAATAAACATATTTATTACCAAAAAAACTTCCCCTTTTCCCAACTTCCCCATTCCTACGTATCCACTAATCTGTTCTCAATATGCATTATTATATAGTCTTGAATTTTATATAAATGGAATACAGAGTAGAATTTAACTTCTTTCACTCAACAAAATTTTATATGTATCAACTTCTGTGAATAGTGTTGTTACATGTAGTTGCAGAGAAGTAATCCATTATATGGAGATCCCATATATCCATTTTGAGTGATTTTTTTAAAAAATATTTTTTTAGTTGTGAATGGACACATTAACTTTATTTTATTTATGTATTTTTATATGGTGCTGATAATTGAACCCAGTGCCTCACACATGCTAGGCAAAGGCTTTCCCACTGAGCTACAACCCCAGCCTCTCTAGTGATTCTTTGTATACATTGCAAGGTAAAGATTGAGGATCAGTCTTTCCAAATGACTTTCCAATTGCTCCAACTCAGATTATATTTTTCCCAACAAATTTTCTTGATACTTGCCCAAAGTTATTTGGCCATAATAAGATGGTTTATTTCTAAACTTTGTATTCTTTTTCATTAATCTGTTTGTCTTTATGCTGGTACCACATCATCTTGATTACTAAGTCTTGAAATCAGGTAGTAAAAATTGTCCCTCCTTGTTCTTTTCTGAAGTTCTTTGGATATTGTAAGTTCTTTCTATTTCTCTTTAAATTTTAGTCAGGTTATTTATTTTTGTCAAAATGTGATAAAATTGACTTTTTTTAAAATTTAAATTTTCAGTTATCTATTACTAGCATTTAGAAATACATTATTTTTCTATTAACTCAGATTGTACAACCTTACTGGACTCATGTATTCTAGTAGATTTAAACAGTTGTGTAGATTTAGACAATTATAATTTCTGCAAATAAAGATATTTTTACTTCATCATTTCCAATTTTATTTTATTTTTTTCCTTTTTTCCTGAGCTTATTGAGAAGATCTTAAAAATTTTGTTGAGATGATAGATTAAATTTATTTAAAAATGTTTCATCAACTCTGCATTCCTAGGATAAATCTCATTTGATCATGAAGTATATTATTGGACTGTTTTCTAAAATTGTGATTAAAATTTTTGAATTTATGTTCACAGAGAATCTTTGTCTAGAATTTTAATGTTTTGTGTGTCTTGTGGGAAAGTTTTAAACTATGGTTTCAATTGATTTGTTATCTACTACTTTTTTGGTGGTATTAGGAACCAAACCCAGGATCTTGCATATGCTGGGCAAATGTTTTACGATCTACACCTGAACTCTACCTTCAGCCTTTTCTGTTACTTTTAAGTGAGCTGTTTCATTCATGAAATTTATCTGTCTCACCTAAACTGATGAATTTGGTAACATTAAAGTGTTTTATTCCATTATTTTAATGTGTAAATTTGCATTGACAGTCAATTTTTAGAGCAATGACCTTAAATAGACTTTATCTAAAATATATCATTAGGTCCTTAAAACATTTTGTTGATTGTTATTTACTTACCTTCCCTCAATACAGACAAACCAATTGAGATTACTATTCATATTTTTTAATACTGATAAAAGAGACAAGCTGCATATCTGTGAGGGATTAGTTAAGTACTCCACAGAGCCATTGCAAATGAAAAAGAATTTGGAAGGAAGGAGGGAAGACAGGAAAGAAGGAAGGAGAAAAGTAAAAGAAAAAGAAAAATAGAATTAAAGATTGCTACAATATATTATCTGATGTATCCATATGTTAAAACATTCTTTTTCAAAAGCAAGAATAGAGATTTTAAAAGAGCATATATAAAACTGAACATTCGTTGTATCTTACAGGTTTGTTTTTTGTGTGTTTGTGTGTGGGGAGTATGTTATTTATACAGATAAACAAAATATCCAGGGATTATGCCCTGGATATTTATGGATGGAAATTATTTAGAGTTTCTTTGTTATGTTTTCCTGTATTATTAAATGTTCTCATATATGAATTCATTACTTTTGGTATTCAGGAGAAATAGAATTTGTCACGCTCACAGAACTAGTTAATAATAGAGCCAGGATTTGATTATGTGCGTGTGTGTGTGTGTGTGTGTGTGTGATGTTTTTACCTTAGTTGTTCATGTCCCTCTCCTATTACTCTGCTGCTGTATAGTGAAAAACTTTAGGATAAACTTATACTTTTTTAAAAAACAAAGAACAGAAATTTATTTCTAACACTTTGGAGGCTTGGGAAGTCCAGGATCAAGAGCTTGGGTGTCTTGTGAGAACTGCTCAACACTGTGATTCTAAGATTGTACCTTTCTGCTGAGAGGATGTAGCAATAAGATGTAGTCCTGGAATCAGATGGTGGAAGGCAGAAAGGCAAGAGGGACTGGATGCTGTGTCCCCAAGGACAGAAGAGAAAAATGGGAAGAGCTGCAGAAAGCTTTTATGATTCCTTTTTCCAGATATTTGGTCTTCTTTCCAAGTTTTGAAAAACTAGTTTATTCTCTGCTTCCAACTGACTTTTTCCACACTAAATTTGACTGGGTAAACAAAGCAAAATCACACTTTGGTAACTAACTTCACATTCCAAATATGCACTATTGGAAGCATGTAGATCTTAGTAGGTTTCATTTGCATCAGTGGCAAGTTGAGTGAAAAATTTATTCAAAAATTTGTAATCAAAAAATGTGATTATAAAACTTACACCTACTGTCTCTTATTTGAAGTGAACATTGCTGATTTGATATCAAATCTTTTCCTTAGGAAGATTTTTCAGTTGTATTTTTAATTTTGAGAAGGTTATTATATATAGTCCACTCTGTCCACAGCATGGAATATAACAAATGTTGACATTTAAATTTTTTTCTTCAAATTAAAAAAAATGAGTAAAGTTGAAGTCATCTATTTTGTTTCCTTCTTAGTCTGTATTTGCTTTTTTTATTCTTATAGAAAATACCAATTTGATGATATGAGATATATATATATATATATATGTTTATTTTTATCTATGATAATATATTCTGTTGCATAAATAATCAATTCTAAGAAAATTGTTTTGTCTTTTGTGTGTGTGTGTGTGTGTGTGTGTGTGTGATGCCAGGTTCAGACCCAGGGCTTTTCACATGGTAGGCAAGAATTCTAACACTAACATCACCAGCAAGAAAGTTTTCTTAATTATTGCACTATTTATGAGGTGGTTTCTTTGTTTCTTAATAAGATCAGTAAGGTCAGTGTTGTAGAGAACATGACTATTTTTTGGTGCATATATGTAAATATTTCTCTGGATATATGACAGGAGAAAACTTGCTAAGTCTTTAAATAGGTATATATTTATTTCTTTGCCCAACTATTTTCTGAATAATTTTTATCAATTTGTATTATATCAGCAGTGTGCAGGTGTTCCTGTTCACATTCTTTTTAGATGTTGATATTATAAGGCTTGTGATTTTTTGCTAGCCTTATGGTATGAAAACATACCTAATGATTATAATTTGCATCATCTTGATTTCTAGGAAAGTTGAGTATTTTTTCATCTGTTTATTGGTCATTCAAGTTTTCTCTTCTGCAAATCACTTTGCTTATATTGTTTGCATTTTTCTTGATTGCAATTTTCTTAATGATTTCACAGATTTTTGTATGTATGCTGATTATAGATTCTTTATTAACTATATTTTAACATTTTCCAACCTGTCACATTTTTCACTTCTGTCATATAAATAATAAATTGATTTTTTTTTTCTGTGGATTTTCCTCTTCTGTTTCTGCCTAAATAAAAACATATCTCTAAATAAATTAATCCCTATCTCAAGGTGAAGAAATTATTATCTTTCACCTCTTGAGATGTTTAAAGTTTTATTTTTAAATTCATTTCTTTTCTTTCTTTTTTTTTTTTTTGTAATGCTAAGAACCTTTCCATATATTTTTTAGGATAAATGATTCTGTTTTCTTCTAGTTTATATGAGCAAGATGAATGTTGCCTAATAGTACCTTTGTTTTACTGTATTTTATATGGACATATAAGAATTATTTAGGTTCTTATAGTAGTAATGTTAAAGATGAGTTATTTTTCTTTCTCAGATTAGAAATCATTTTTCAATTCCAATCTCTGTTTATGAAGGAGATACTTTATTGGGAATTGCTTCACCTGAAAATGAATTCAACATACCATTAGCATCTTACCGGTAATTTTTTTCTTTATTTTTTTGTTGCTATTTCATAAAGTTTTTAGTTTTAGATGCTATGTGAATATTTATTTTTAACTTATTAAATTTTCATCTAATTTATCCTGTTGATTATCTATTTTATTTAGGTTTCAAGAATCCTAGGTGGTTCTTTTCAAAAGAAATATTATTTAATGTATAATTAATTTGTACCATGAAAATTATTTATGTTTTTGCTGGTAAATACAATTATTACATGCTTGCAGAATGATCACCTTAACCATAGTCATGTATATTCATGAGTTTTACAAATGTTTAAGAATATGATTGATGGTTCCAAGATTTATATATTTACTTTTATATTTATATATTTACTTTTCAAAACTATTATAATAGAATTTTGGTGAAATTCCTTTTGAAAAAAATATCTTTTAATATAAACACTTCTCTGTTAATTGTTTAGGGATAGAGTAATGTAAATGCATTAATGGTTAAATGTTTATAATATTTTGATTAAATTTGATATAAATATTTTAAGAAAAAATTAACAAAATAATGCTAGTCTTATAATTGTAGATTTAACATTGTAACAAATAAATATTATTTGGGCTATTTAATTTACAATTGAAAATAATCTCTTTTGTAGAGAATGGATTCTCTTGGAGAATAATCCTTCTCTAAAATTAAGAATTGTAGTTTATTTAAATGCCATTTCAGAATACACTCTAAAAATGCTAGGGAAGGAAAAAGGTGATACTACGGTTTTTAACTGTCCCCTAGTTCTGTTCTTTCTGATCCAAGCCTGAAAGTTTAAGGTGGTGTTCTAAATGCTTAGAAAGCAGTCTTAATAGTTCCGGGCACATATTTTCACATAGATAGACCTACAAACCCTAACATGCATTTTATTACTTAATTCAGAAGTGCTGAGGGAAAGAATTGTTGAGAGAATAACAGCAATAATAGTTGTTTACAATATCAGACATGTTCTAGAAAGTTTTTTGGGTTGGTTAAAAGACAAATTTTAAATAACTTGTAAGATGTTTAAAAATTTCTATGAAGAACTTTTAAACCATTTAATAATATTTAATAATAGTTAATGGCATTCATCATAAAAAAAAAAAAAAAACAGCAAGGCATTGGCACCAAAAGAGAGACTTAGACCAATGGTACAGAATAGAAGAAACAGAGACAAACCCACATAAATCCAATTATCTTATACTAGACAAAGTTGTCAGAAACATACATTGGGGAGAAGATAGCCTCTTCAACAAATGGTGCAGGGAAAACTAGAAATCCACATGTAGCAAAAATGAAATTAAACCCCTATCTCTCACCCTGCACAAAAATCAACTTAAAGGGGATCAAGGATGTAGGCACTAGAACAGAGACCCTGTGCCTAATATAGAAGAAAAAGTAGTCCAAATCTCCACCATATCAGCTTAGGTACTGACTTTCTTAACAAGACCCCTGAAGCACAAGAAGTGAAATTAAGAATCTTAAATGGGATGAAATCAGACTAAAAAGCTTCTTCACAGCAAAGGAAACAATCAACAACATGAAGAGAGAGCCTACAGAATGGAAGAAAATCTTTACTACATGCACCAACATTATTCTCCAGAATATTAAAGAACTCAAAAAACTTAACACCAAAAACAAACAAATAACACAATCACTAAATGGGCTAAGAAGCTGAACCAACACTTCACAGAAGAAATACAATCGGTCAACAAATAGACAAAAAATGTTCAACACCCTGAGCAATTAGAGAAATGCAAATCAAAACTACACTGAGATTTTATCTTACTCCAGTCAGAATGGAAATCATGAAGCATACAAGCAGCAACAAATGTTGGAAAGGATGTGGGGGAAAAGATACATTCATACGTTGCTTGTGGGGCCGTGAATTGGTACAACCACTATGAAAGCAATGTGGAGATTCCTCAGAAAACTTGGAAGGGAACCACCATTTGACCTAGTTATCCCTCTCCTCAACATATACCCAAAGGACTTAAAATCAGCATACTACAGTGATGTAGCCACATCAGTGTTTATAGCAGCTCAATTCATAGTAGCCAAACCATGGAACCAACTTAGGGGTGCCCTTCAACAGGTGATTGGATAAAGAAATTATGATATATATATATACAATGGAATATTACTTAAAGAAGAATGAAATTATGACATTTGCTGATAAGTGGATGGAGCTAGAGAATATCATGCTAAGCAAAATAAGCCATTCCCATAGAACCAAAGACTGAATGTTTTCTCTACTATGTGGATGCTAATTCACAGTGGTGGTGGGAAGAATAGAGGTACTTTGTATTAGAAGGGAGTGAAGGGAGGGGAGGAAGTATGGGGCAGGAAGTACTGTGGAAGGAATCAGACATTATTACCCTATATGTATATATGATTACATACTAGTGTAATTCTACATCATTTACAACCAGAAGAATGAAAAATTATACTCCATTTATGTATGATACGTCAAAAATACATTCTATTGTAATGTATAACTCATTAGAACAAATTTTTAAAAAACAGTTAATGGCATTCTGGTTTTTAAGAATATCTGCCAAATATTTTGTGACTCTGTAGTAGAGAAAAGAATATCTTTGTACTTTTGTTCAGGGCTAAATAATACTTCATTAAATGAAATTTAATCTTCCCTAATTAGAGTTATTATTGACTAATCAGCAAGAATTTTGCATTAATTCAATGATTAGATGTACGTGCACTTAAATATTTATGAGATGAGGGCTTAAATTAACAAATGCTATTTTTCTCTATAGAATTTGACTATACTTATCCTTAAATTTAATTAATAAATATTTATCAAGTGTTGTGTTGTGGGTGAGACATTGTAATATACCAAAATAAATTGGACATGGTTGTTACCATTAAGAGATTGATACATTTTCTAAATATATTAGGTAGGAAAAAGTGGATTTTAGAGAGTTACTGAAAGTGTTACTAGGAACTGTTGAAAACCAAGGATTATTGATTGACTTCTGGGGAAGGTACATGAAGAACAGAAAAATATAGTAATGTTGAGATTAGATGCGGACAGCAACATAAGTAGAAATAATTGCATAAACAAAGATAAACAGGAATGAAATGGTAAGGACTTTGTATACTTATAATTAATAGTCTGAATTTCATTAGAATATAGAGTATTTAAAAACAGAATTTGAAGAGTTAAGTTCACGCTTAAGAAGTTACTCCCTCATTTTTCTTGCTGCCAGTTTTATAAATCTTACATCCACCTACTAATATCATCTGTTTTCTTCCTTCTTGTCACATAATATTTGTTGTTCAGTTTCTAGACCACTCATTCTACCACCTTTTCTTATTTACAGTCTCCTACCATTGATCATCTTCTGTTTTCTCTTCTTCACTCTTTATTTGAACTTTCCTTTAACCACACATATTTCTCTAACTCAAGTCTTTTTCTCAGAACTCTTTTTGGGAAACATTTCACTTCTTCTTCATTTTTTTTTAAGGTAATTAAATCCAGGGACACTTAACAACTGACCCACATCCCTACCCTTTTTATTTTTTATTTTAAGACAGGGTCTTGCTAAGTTGATAAGGCTGGCTTTGAACTTATGATATTCCTGCCTCAGACTCCCAAGCTGCTAAAATTACAGGTTTGTTCTACTGTGCCCCGCAAAATTTTTCACTTCTGCATAACACCCTGCAGTCTGTTTAGAAAGAGTTGGCCACACTACATTATTCCCTCAGTCTTACATTTGCTCTTTCAGTATCTATTACAGTGTAGTAGTTACCTTTTAACATTACATTTACTACTTGGTTTGTATATTTTAAATTTTGCCCTCTCATTGCTACATGGAGACCCAGAGAATATTTTGATAAAATGTTTTGATATATATGTTGACTTTAGGAGAAAATTAATTTTTTTCTTTAAGTGTTGGAATAATGGAAAGTAGAATGAAAATTATGAAGAGGCTACAAATAGAATAGGCTGTCTGAAACTGATTGGATAAAAAATGTATGTAGGTCAGGGGTACAAGTACTCTAATATTTCAGAGACTAGTAGTTTAAAGTCACTAAAAACGGGCATATAGAAAATCAAGCATGGAGGATTCATTGTTCATTGTGGGAAATTTTTAACATCAGAAATCATTATAGAAATACAAAACAGTTAAAATTTTAAGAAAAGAGCTTAGGAAAATAGGGATGGAGATAGTTTTTGCAGTTGTTCATCTATAAAGGTTACTCATAATCATAGCTCATTAGTGTTATAAATAAATAATATTTGTAGGGGCTGAGGGTGTAGCTCAGTGGTAGAATACTTACCTTGCACACTTGAAGCCCTAGATTTGATCCTTACCACCATACATACTCATAAATATGCACAAAAATATTTCTTAAGTGTTTATTCTAGCATATAGCTAACTTTTAAACTTGTTAGACCTAGCCAGCCATGGTGGCATACTCCTCTAATCCCAGTAACTATGGAATATGATGTAGGAGATAACAAATTCAAGGTCAGCCTGGGCAACATAGCCAGTTCCTATCTCAACAGCTTAAAAAATAAAAAAGACGGGGGTATCCAAGATGGCGGGCCAGCAGGAGGCAGCATTCTGTGTCACTCTGTGACCTGGGACTTAAGTAGTGAGAATAATGTTTCTCTGCAAGCAATATTCCTGCTCCCACGCAGGAATCACAGCCACTGTACCAGCGCAGGGCTCCAGGCCTTAGCTTCAGACAAGGTCTCCCAACTACTCATCCATACAGGACTACTGGGAGCCGGAGTGGCAACATAGGCATGGGTACCCACACAGAACTTTCCGCCACCCACCTGAGCAGAAATCCCAGATGCTGCTCCCACACAGGACACCCAGCAGCTACCAACGTGCAGGAACTCCAGCTGCTATTCCCGTATGGACACCTGTCTACTAATGTGGGTCTCCCAGGGTCGCCTCCATCTTGGGACTCTGCAGCAACAGAGATAGTCCCCTACGTGCTGTAGCATGCCTGTACCGGAGAACTTCACACAG